CAGCCATGGAATGAACGACTCTGGTCAGTATGACGGCGCTTGCTTTTTCATCCGGCATGACCCTACAAACCAAGAGTTCATCTTTTTCGGTGATGTGGAGCCTGACAGCATCTCTGTCGAGCCAAAGAACATCGCCGTCTGGCGTGCAGCAGCACCAAAGATACCGCATATCATATCTACCATCTTCATCGAGTGCTCATACCAAACAGGGCGGCCGGACGGGCAGCTTTGGGGTCATCTCAGTCCCGTGCATTTGGTACAGGAGCTGGTCACGCTAGCAACAGAGGTTGTCATCGCCCGAAAAGAACGTAGATCTTGCTCAGGATCGAGGTCGCGAAAGAGGCAACGAATGTCACCTGAAGCCCTTCACGGCGCACTTGAAGGTGTCAAAGTTTACATCATGCACTGCAAAGAGCAATTTGCTACAGAACGGCCGATCAACCACGTTATCGGTGACCAATGTCGTGAGCTGCTTGCACCCCACCAATTAGGGGTCGAACTACTCACTGCGGACCAAGGCATGAAGATTGGTGGGTCCAATCGTCCTATCGGCTTTGCGATATACTTAGTACTAACTTACACCTCTTCAAGTGATCTGAACCTTATCCTCAACGAACTTTTCTTATTCGTTCAATTATTCGTTGAGATATTTTTATTTGGAGAAATCCACCGATACCAGTCCTCACCGTGTGTATACTTAACCACTGTAGCCCTAATTTCCATTTCCCAGTTGTCCCTTTTACCACCAGTCTGTTTTATCACCACTCTAACTTAATTCATATTCGTCGACGCACTATGTACGTTTGAGCCTCTTTCTCATATACCACTCTACGTACCGTCTTTAGACGCTCATGTACTTGCACGATCGCACGAATTATACCGACGATAACACAGAAATCACCTGCAAACAGCAAAGAAGGAATATACAGGAAACAATGTCAAGAAGAAAAAGAGCCAATGCGTATTGAACACGAAGACCGTCCGCATACGTATGAAGATATCTATAATGCGTAATATCATAAGGTCAATCATGTTCGATCATTCATGAGCAAGCTATGACGATGCGTAGAGCTTGACAACGCCGTCTGCGCCTGCGCTTGCCATGAAGGGTAACGTGGGATGGAATTCAACCTCGAGAACACCCTCTTTAGCCTTTTCACGATGTGTCGTGATCTCCTGCGTGCAGGTCCGCGAACCAAGAAGATCCCAGAAGCGGATGGAGCAGTCATGCGAGCCAGACACGAGCGAGAACCCGGCTGCATCGATCGACAACGATGTTACCCCGTCGAGATGAGCAGGCATGGTGTGCGTGCAATGTCCTTCATACGCGGTCAGTGAATGTAAAGGAACCTCGGCTGGTAAACAGAACGTACCTGACAATATGTCGAATATGCGGATGAACTTGTCCTCATGGGCAGTGACGAGGAACGATATCGTAGGATGGGAGACAATACGGTTCACCTGAGTTGCAGGCGTGCCATCTTAATAAAAAACATGATCAGCGATCGTCAATAGAAGCAACGAGAATCGAGATATGCACCATATGTGGCATCAGTGGCTAATCTCGACACCTCTCTTCCAGTCTCGATATCGAACACTTTTACCACCGCGTTCTGGAATGCTACTGCCACCTTTTTCAAGTCAGACTTGATCGCCTCGACCGCAGTTGCTCCTGGCTCTTTTTCCTTTTCCTCCTCCTCGCTCCCTTCGTGGTCCAAGCCGTAGTAACCCCACGACAATTTCAAAGTTACACGACCTTCTGCAGCTCCACTTACATCCCACACCTTTATGGAGCCCTCAGCACCACAGCTCACCAACGCATTCTCATCCCGTACAAGGGCAAGGTCCCAGACAGCATCAGTGTGCCCTACCAGCTCTCCACGCGCAGAGCTGTCATCGTATGGCGCGTATGTCGTGTGCGACGGTGAGGGCAGCGCCCAGACACGGATGCTTGAGTCGATCGATGCGCTGTAGATGAGGTGCTTGGTAGGGGAATGCACGAGACGTGTTATTGCGGCTGAGTGGCCACGCAGGGTAAGTTGGGGCTCGAAATCAGTCGTGAGGCGAGCACTAGAAGAGAGTTAGTCTCATCATGCCTGCTAGAGAAACGAGAGCACCAACGCAGAAGATGCTAAATTCGCGACATCCATGCGCCAGATTTTTACTGTGCAGTCATCTCCACCGGTTGCAAGACATAGTTCCGTGGGGTGGAATGCGAGTGCACGCACTGCATCTAGATGACTGGGAGCCAGAATCAACACCAAAAACTTGAACTCCGAGTGGAAAAGGCACTCACTTTCTCAATGTTCGCTTAGCCTTCCATATCTTTGCTCCATCGCCTTCGCCCTCCTCAACCCCAACACCTACGCTCTCTACCTCATCTTCGTCCTCTCCAACTTCTTCACCCTCGCCCTCGCCTTCCTCGTCATCGCGCCACCGCTGCATCTTCATATGCTGTTCGTACGATGACCGCAGCTTCTCTCGCCACTCGCCCTGATCATCAGGACGGAAGATCGCCGTTAAATGGCGCGATGGCTCTGCCTCGGTGGCCGGCGCTCCCTCTTTCTCTGGAGGCGGTTGTGGTACTGTCTGCGGGGGTGCCTGCTGTGATGGAGGCTGTTGAGGCTGGGGTAGTTGAGGTGGTTGTGACCTTTCTTGGCTCTGCACCTGCTGCTGCTGCTGTTGTTGTTGTTGTTGCTGCTGCTGCTGCTGCTGGAACATGCCTGTACCAACACTATTCAGAGGGCTCCCTCGCTCCAATGGTCCTGTCGATGCTGGGCCTGACATCAAATTCACACCACCACTTAACATGGGGAAGTCCTTATTCCCTGGTCCAGTAACAACTGTGACCCCTGGCCCGGATTCTGGCAATGCCTTACGAGGCCGGCCATTGTAGATTGCCTCGAAGGGTTGGCTAGGTGCGGCGGGGTTCACTAATCCTGATGAGATGAGCGGACGGTTCGGGAGTGGATTCATTGCTTGCGGAGAGGTGAGGTATGAGATTTCCTGGAGACATCTAAAGGAGATTATGAGCATGGAAAGTCATCCCAAAAGACAGTAAGTAAACGTACTGCTTGAGGTAGTCTCTGCTCCGTGCGCGGCTCTTTGGGTCGCGTCCTGGTGGCAGCTTACCCACGGAACCAACGGATGGCAGGCCTCCGCTCCAGTTCGCGCTTGCACCAGGCCATGAGGGTTGTCGTGCTGGGGGTGCAGAGGTCCCGTTCGGAATGCGTTCGGAGGGCAGAGGGGAATCTGTGGTGGGTGTATTAATGTCAAATACAGTACTAAAATAAACGGCACCCTAAGAACTGGGCAACACGCACCGTCACTACGTGGCGAGCTGCCACTGCTCCCATCCTTATGGCTCTGAACATCATCTTTTGCGCCTTGCAGCTGGAGCATGGCTGATTTTGACGGTTGAGCGGTACCAGTTGGCGCAGTTAACTGCTTTGAGCTATATGAAGAACACATGGCATGAGAACATCCGCGAATTCAACAAAAAGAGGGAGGCGGAACGCGTGAGTAGGCTGGCGTGTGCACAAGGAGAACACGAACCGTTCCATACGGAGAGCATACTCTAGCATTTTTATGCGACGCATCAGGTCGAGTTTGACGTTTTCGAACGAGCGTCGCTCGCCCTCAAGGAGAGCTATGCGAGCCTATTGTGAAACATAAATACGCGACGTCCCAAACGCAAGAAATTGAGCAACGAATGCAGATATGCAGACTAAACGCATTTTGATGATGCGAAAAGCCGAAAGTAAAAAAGTGACTCGCAGTGGGACGCATATGCACATAGGAATGAGGAGAGTACTCACCCTCATTTCAGCTCTCTCAATCTCCCATTCGTTTCTATCACGCTCATAACGACGCCATTCTGTCTGCAAAAAGTGCAAGACACTGGAAAGGTTGAAATCTTGACCATTCTGGGGGGGTGGGGGTGGGATGCCCTGGGACTGCCCTTGCTGGCCCTGGGGTTGTTGCTGACCAAGTTGACCCTGCTGCTGCTGGCCTCCTTGATTTTGCTGGGGCTGAGACACCTGCAAGGTGCCGAGCATAGGGATTTGGATTGTCTGTGGATGGTGAATGTTGGGCGTTGAAGAGATTGACTGTGTACTCTGGTTGTTTTGATGGTATAATGCAGTTAGAGCGTCGCGCTGCTGTGAGCTGTTACTGCTATTATTTTGCGATAGAAGGCCGTTAGGAGGAGGAGATTTTGAAGTGGCAAGGTTGCTGATCCGTGAGCTTGTGAGCATATCGGCGGTGGGTTCCTACAATTCTGCTTTCCAGTGTTTGCAATCAACAAACAACCGCCTCAGTGTGAAGGCGGAAACGACAAGTTCAACGTCAACGACGACGACGACGACTACGACGGTAACAGCTACGGCCACGACAATGGAAGTACGGAGAAAGGCGAGCCCACGAAGCTTTTCACTCATTCACAAAGCGCTTTAGCACTATTAATGCCGCTATAGTATATATTCATGCATAAACTTATTCAAACATCCGACCTTCGGGTTCTGGCCAATTCTATCTTTGTGAGCATTTCCAAGGAAATTTGATGGCCTGTGTACGTTGACGCTACTCTTCAACATCGAGCGCTTTACGCAGCCCCGTGTATGGCACATAAAAACTCCCCTCCAACAAAACTCGATGGCCTACGTCGGAGCGGAAGTCAACGGGATGAGGGAACTGAGCGCTTGGCACCCGACAACGATACGTCACTTTTACTCATCCGATCTCATGCAGCCCGTAGGGAAGGCCGAGCGATAACATTTGATGCTGGACAGACTTCTGCTTCCCTTCTTGCCTGGTTCTTGGAGCGCGCAAGAACTATGTGTTAAGATACTCAGGGCAGCAGATAATCGACCTTACAAGTCATGTACTGATTCAGCACTGCACCGCAAGCTAAAACTGAATGGAAAGATCGTTGATGACCATGGATCATACAACAGATGGATTGCAAACAGTCAGTCAGGTGCAGAGTAGATATCATCCTTCTATTTCTTTCCTGATCTAAAGAACAAGATCAATCAAATAAACCAAGATGAAGATTGTACTCTACTCACTTCTTGATCCCGCCACCAGGAGGACCACCTGTCAAAATCATGAGTTTATTCTGACTTGAGGTGCTTCGGATACTCACCCTTGATAGCTACACATCAATGGATCCCTCCGCTTAGATGCATTTCTTGTAGTTTAGCGAGTAAAAACGTACCTTTGTCCCTTGCAGCCTTCACAGCAGCCTCTTCGGCCTTCTTTTTCTCCTTGAAGGCCTTGTCATCTTCATCCTCTTCTTTGGATTCCTTCTTTGGTGCCTAGCGATTTCAAAGGAGGCTTTAGCATGGCTTTGAGGCAGTTGAAAAACCAACCTTTAGAGGCTTCAGCTTGCCACCTTGTCTCGACATCGTTGAACCAGACACAGACCGTTTGTTTCTATGTCAGATACCTATGATAAGGGCGATTGTGAACTCCACCCAAACTTGTCCGTGGCCGGTCTCGGCGGTCCCCCGGCGGTCGCAACTCCAAAGAGTACTAAGCACTTCTGAACTGTTTTGGATGAATGGATGGTTGCATTGTATCAGATTACCACAAGGAGAACATTCAAATCGAACAAAAAGATATCTATACAATAGGCCCGGTCTGGTGAATCGCCAACCCAGCTGGCATCAGGTTCTATGATAGGTCCCAGGTACCGTCCTAGGTCCAGGTCTTACATAATGACTAATCTTAGATAAAACACCTTCCATTTGGGTATACAATGGTTTTGTGGTAGCCAGCAACGTCGAACAATAGCCTGAGGATATGGTATGGTGTGGACCGTGTGGTACAGCGTTTATATGACCTTGCAGCGTCAGCTCCACTTTTGCATCTTCAACTTGAACTCCCTCGACTGTGTCGAGCTCTTTGTCGCGAGCGACGTTCCAATCATTTCTGTTTTTCGTTAATCGAGCAGGGTACTCGACAGTGTTTAATATCATTCATTCATTTCACACAGCGCTTCGAGTTTATCTAAACATGTTATTTGTTCATGTCCTTACAGCCATAACACTGGCAGGCTCAGTTGCGGCCATCCCTTTCCGTGTCCTACCGCCTCAAAGTAAGCGGGACGTCAACCCTGCGCTAGTCCCGTCCTTCGGTTGGCAATCTGGTGTTAATCCAGATGGTGAGTACAAAATAACAGTACCCTTCGACATCGTGCACTAACATGTTCTAAAGGCACTGGAAACTGTGACGGTGCCGTGGACGGCACTAATGGGAAACCTATCCTAATACCTTGCTCATGCCCGCCAAATTCAACGTTCTTCCTTGCTGTGAGCCTTCCAGTCAAACATCGTGTTGTCTACTGCTGAACACAGGCTTCTATGGTAGAATCTTAATAAAAACGTGGCGGCGGGCTTTGTGACAACAAACCCCACTGTGAAGGTCTCTTTCCCAACAGATGACAGTACCGCATCTCAGCTTGCTCGTTTAAATGCAGCAGCGGTCACTCTGCAAAACCTTGAAGGTCCCGGTGTTGGTTGCCCGATTTCTTCCACCACTTTTTCTGCACAAGGAAAAGCGATTAGTGCAGGGACATCTACCAACGGAAATTCAAGTGCTGCAATGCCTCCGGCTGCGTCAGCAACACCTGCGGGTTTCGGTGTCTCAACGAGCAGTTCTGCCACGAGCGCTGCCGTCCCAACGAGCATCACTTCAAACAACAGTTCTGCTTCACCCACTGATGAGCAAATTGCCACACTGGCACCGCCCCTTGGATGGCAAGCTGGAATCAACCCAGACGGTAAGCAGTAATTCTTGAAAGCCTGCTAATGATAAGAAGCTCACGTAAATATCATCAGGCACTGGTAACTGTGATGGTGCTGTCGATGGTACAAACGGGAAGCCAATACTCATCCCATGTCAATGTCCCCCTGATCAGACGAACTACATCGCGGTAAGCTATTCATTTCATGCTCAATTGCTCTTAGGGAACTAACATTCTTCCAGAACCTGACTGCTAATGTCCGCGCGGGCCATGTTATTCTCAATCCCACGGTGCAACTCACATTCCCAACCGACAACAGCACAGCCTCGCAAAGCGCGCGTCTGAATGCTGCTGCTGTTACGTTACAGAACTTGAATGGTGCTGGGAAGGGCTGTCCGATCGTGTCGACCACGTTCAGTGCACAACAGAAGGCAATTAATGCCGAAAACACCTCTTGAATGATTATCGTAGAGAGATTAACCTCTTGGGCATCCATGTTGTAGCAAGTAGCCAGTTTTCGTTATCGTTGTACAATCATATTACTTGGGCGTTGGCCATTGAATATTGAGCTGCAACTGTAGCTTCCGAACTCCGCTCCGAGCCCAATGATCAAATCGATCACTCTCGAGACTCCAGGTCCTACTGTTATAAAGTCCACGTTCAACAATAGTCGTTCACTTAAGCGGAATCGAGTCAAGTGGAAATTCCTGGACCGTCATGGACGTCATGACTTGCACCATCGACAGAGAATGGCGTGTCGTAATGTCTCGAGAATGGGATGTGCGTTCTTGCCTCGCCTCCACTCAGTGGGACACAGTACAACGTGCATGTTGTTGACGCGTTGCTGCGATTCAGGTTCTCGGGCCTTTCCCCATCCACGCTAGGGAACAGCACTTCCTTTCTCCTGCGTTTCCCCTTGACTGTGGGCAATCATATTGATTGTATACTATGAGCTTGAGCTAATCACGATCTGCTATGGATTTCGAAGTGTCTAAGAATATAGATTTGACCCGTACCTATCCATCTGCTTATGCTGATGGCGGATATGTCTCTTGGTCAAAAGCCAACTCGGATGAACAGGGAAATCTCAAAGTATCCCATCCCAATATTCGGTGGGAGCAGCTTCGTGCGACCGAAGGATGGGCAGCACTGCAGCATCACAACGTCCTCCGGACGTATCTCACCGTCTATCCTCCAGATTCTAAGCAAGGAAACACCGAGGCCGATCCACGTCTGCGTGTCGAGTGCCTCCAGGGCGCATATTTTTCCATCTTGCCAGATGATGAGACAACTTGGGCAACACATGTCTCGGAATGGCACATGGGGAATGTTTACGCTCTCGAGCGTGCCCCTGTACAGTTCGTCTCGCTCCCAACGTCTCCATGTAGAGATAAAACCACCCGATATCAAGTAGTTCTTGGTGGATCTTACGAGGTGATCTGACTTCTTGAAACCTTGGAATATCATCTGAGTTATCCACTATCAATAGATAAGACTCTTTGGTGACCCTCGGTCATACAACTCAGAACATCCAATTCTAAGCATCAATTTTACTATCTCAATTGATACCCTTCCATCACTGGAAACATCGCCTTATCTGGTGACGCCCGTCTCACATGCACCTGCTCACGATATCATACCGGACTTCATCTATGGCCGGCCGTTCTCTCCGACGCTAGGAATAGGGCTTCGAAACGTTGATTTTTGCCGCAACACCAAATCAATAGCAGGATGGTGGACGGTAGTGTCGGCTGTGATTCCACCTTGCGCAGGGCTGGGGCTTTCATTATGCAACCTTTCAACGACAATACGGCTTGCCCCGACTCAAACACACATACTAACGCTGGAGTTCCAACCCAGTCCGGGAGTAATCCCTATCGATATCACAGAGCTTCCGGTCGACATTACAATCTCTCCCTTCCACGCTGAATCGGCATGCGGTGATGTTGATGAGCAAAGAATTTTCAGAGTCAATGTTCCTATCAGACACATTCCCATGTGGACTTCGGTCAGTTACACTGCCATAAGAGCGACGTACAATTTGGACTTTAGCAATCCAACTATATTCTTGGTACTTCCCCCTCGATATCCCAATAAAGAAGGTGAAGGAGGGCTGAAAGAGCCAATTCTAGCGCTGCGTATGTTGTAATCTACACCTGATGGCTCTCAGTTTTCCTAGATGTTGACTTTCTTTTCCACTCAATATTTCTAGATGGCGCAGGTGTCGACATCATCAACCAAACATTCTGGGCAGACAGCCTCCCTCGGCAAGACAGGGCATGGGTGATCATTCCGTCTGGTCGAACTTCCTGGGTAATTCACATTCCAGTGCCTACTTTAGTATTTGATGGATGGACGGCAGGGCCTCGATTGGCATGGTCCTTCTGCTGCTGATGCTTTTGCCGCGGTGACAGCCCTGCACGATATACTATGCATAGGATTCGTGGACTGGATTTATCCTCGAGATACAAAGCTTATTGTCGTGGGTCATTCGAATGGAGGGCAAGGAGCATGGTACATAGCAAGTAGATGGCCGGACAAGGTGAAAGCCGGTATGTTCGACAGACTAAATTTGAGGCTTCAATCAAAGTGACAGTGAAACACAGTCGTAGCTGCTGCAGGATACATCAAGTCGCAGGCATATGTCCCATGGACGATGTCGAGGTATGATGAAATTTCGTCTCTGTCACAGCATCTGGGCTGACCAGCCTTTTGGCAGATTCGCCCACTTCATTGACCCAGCGCTCCGAGCTGTTCTAGAAACATCGCTCCTACCAGACGACAATGACCTATTCCTTTCCAATCTCGCTCACACGCCTGTGCTCGCAATCCACGGGTGCGTCTGGTAATGATTCCTTCACGATGAAACTGCTCAACTACCGACCAGTGGCATGGATGATAATGTCCCGTCGTGGCACACTCGTGAAGCAGTGAGCGTGCTCAGGGAATGGAATCCAGACGCAGATGTCACGTATGTATTTATGCTGGTTATTGGTCCCCAATGACCGCTCATTGTATTGAAGGTACCACGAGGAGCCTGGTCAGCCTCACTGGTGGTTCGAGGTGCTTAACAATACTCGCGTTCAGGCGTTTCTTGATCGCGTTTGCTGTTCTTCGTATGATGCACCAAAAACTAAATGTCGTAAGTTCACACTTACTGTTGCTGTCCCCGCGGAGAGCGGGCCTATGGGAGGTTGGCGGGTGCACGCCCTCGAAGTGCCTGGGAGGTCTGTAAAATTCTCCTATCATCCTGTACACAAACTTGACGCAACGACATTTACCTCAGACTCGGTCGTTTGGAAGTATGCGAAGATGACGAAGGAGGAGTGAATGTCAAGGCCTCAAACATCAGTGTTGTTTCCTTCGACCTAAGCAAGGCTTCTGTCCGTAAACTTGTGATCAACAGTCGGAATATCCCGCACGCCAGTATGGAAGCTAGAACAATCTGGCTCGAGCAAGACACTAATCGCAACTCAACCGGTTGGAAGGTAACGTCTACTTGTCTTGATGATCCGAACATCCTTCATGATCTATTGGAATAGGTAGTAGATTCCTATGTGGAGAGCTTCCAACAACCGTATGGACGTGCTCAGGCTATTCTCAGCGCAGACGGAATCATCGACATCGTGATTCCATCACTACATCACTCCTCCGAGCTGTCTGCAGCCTTGCGGATTACTCACAACCTACGAACTTACCACCTGCTTGATGCGCGAATAAAAATGGTCTGGTATGCGGGGGTAATATGGTTGTCATTGGTTGCGCAGACTCTTTGCTTGTCAAAGATCTTCTAAGGCGCAGTCAGAGTGAATGGTCTCATGAAGGAGGAGCTTGGGTTTTGAATGATAAAAAGTTTAACACCCCTACTTCTGGTTGGTCGGCCTGAGGTGGCAAGCCTGGGAGACACTGAAAGTTACCTTACAGGTTTACTTTTCCTTGTCAAGAGGACATCGAGTACTGCAAACACTGCGTTGTTCCTGCAATCATCTGACCCAGGCGGACTCGAGCGTGCGCTACGATTATTTCCCATCCGCACAGGTGTTTTGGTACCTGACTGGTTGGTAGTTGATGAGGGAACAGATAGGATTGGGGCAGGTGGTGCAGAGGGAGCCGGGTATGTTCTGGTTCATATATAGGATTTTTTGACTGAGACGTGTTTGCAGTGTCTGGGGATCAGCTAGCAGGTCAAACAATGGAAAGTGGGGATTCAACGCTCGCATGTCATGGCTTAATTAGCATAGAATGCCCATAGGTGTACATAGTATTGTAAACGTAAGGGAATTTTAAAGGGCTATATAAACATCAACAAGCTAGAGGTGTGTCGACAAGGTTGTGCAGGAGGTTTGCTATAATCAAAGTTCACGTTACACCTTGTTCAACACTTGAAAACGGTGAAAGGTTGTTACAATACAGTGAGTGCAGTTAGAGAACGAGGAAAAAACCCGGGGAAACAGATATGCGCGACAGATAGTAGGAACAAAGGCAAAACGAATCTATGGTTGATAGATGGACCTCGCGACCTGCAATGTCTGTTGAGTAAAGGTTTCAACTAAACAGCAGGACGACTTACGCTCTCAAGCAACATGGTAACTTCGGGTGCGACGCGAATGAACTCCTTGTTCCAGAACTCGTACTTCAAATTGCGGAGCAACTCAATGAAGGTGACCAAAGCACCCCAGGGATGAGGACGATGAACAATGAAGCGCTCCAGAAGGACGCGAGTCATCACTTCACGGAAGCGATCGTCCTTCACTTCCACAAAGAGGTGGAGAAGCAAAGAGCTGAACCAGTGGGTATGGGCGTTGGGATATCGCAGGTGGAGAACCACAGAGCTCAGGAGGTGGTGTTGTCCTAAATAACGCGTCAATCTATGTCATATGAACTAGTGGATTCGTTGGACTCGCCTTCAACATCTAAATTAGCAGCAAGATACTGTAAAGCAACAACGCCAGGGTCGCTCGCGACAAATACAGAAGAGCCACTCCTCGCCTTGGCCTGAGCAACTGACGATACTCCAATGTACATGACAAGGGAGTTTATCAATGACAGGTTATACGATTCGGTTGAACTCTCTGGCACGCCGGGCAGCCTCAAGCGATCTTTGAGTGTTGTAAGGAATGAAGGGGTTCCACGATTAAGGAGGTATTGATCGAGGTTGTTGCGGAGGTCAGCGCTTTTGAGACCTGAAGCAAAGTCTGATAGAATGGGTGGTATCGGTCCCATTTCGGGAATCGAGTCAAATTTGATGTTGCGTAGATGGGGGTCAGGAAGGATGATAGACATAGGGAACGCGCTGAGGATGATATTGCGAAGCTGGATGCAACGCGGAGGGATGGCATCGCAGAGACTGAAGTAGTATTCGCTAAGAAATTCTGGGAAATCATGAAGAAGGACGAGGAGGAGTCGGAGGGAGCCGCGATACAGATCACGAGATGCGAGTTGGAGATCAGCCTCTTTCAAGAACGGAGCCAAAAACTTAAAGAGGGAAAGAAGGAGCTTGTGGAACGCAGACCAGCCCTAACGGAATCGAGTCAAAAAAGGTCCTCTAATATTGAATTATAATCTCACCTCCCGGTTTTCGGATAGCAGCAGTTTTGGCATGAAGAGTCGATGTGAAACAAGACAGAGCCAGGAGAATGCGAACCCAGGAAAGTAAGTGGGTTGCAGAGAACTGAAAGTGTCACTGCGATACTGTGAGCGATGATAAAAATAACAACTGGAGAATGGTTTACCTGATGGCGATCAGCAGAGAGAAATAAGCTGAGCCTAGATGTTCTGCGATGGAGTGTAGGTCGCTAATGAGACTGGAGAAGAATCTGAAGAACGGCTTCTGTTGAAAGAGAACGCCTTGTTCTTCGTGCATGTTCGCCAGAACAAGAACGAATATCGACAAAATCTTGGTAAGGTAGTGAACCTTCGCCTGGTCGTTGTCTATTCCAGAAGCGTCACCATGATACTTGATGATGTAGACAATCAATCGCGACATCGCGTCAAGAACTTGGAAAGCGTATTCGAACTCTCCGTTTGCCATGCATTTGATGTAGCTGTTCACACTTGCCTCCGCACACACACGGAAGAAGAATGAAGAAATATCTTCGACCTTCAAAATCCCCTGCTTCGTGAGCTGGGAGATGAAGGGGACGAAAGCTTTCTCAGGAGAGTGAGACCTCTGGAAGATGGAAACCCATTGTTGGAACCAGCTAAACAACTTTTCCCTGAGCTGCTCGGTTTCTGGCTTGACCGAAGGCTGGCGGACCACCATGCCCTCCGTCGTGGGTCTGCGAACGACTCGAAGGTCATCCAGGAGACGATTCACCCTAGTAGATCGGTTAATACACGAGCCCAGTAAATTCGGTCGCAACGTACTCTTCATTAGCATCGCCAGCTTGTGCCAACTGTCCAAGAACTTCAATAGAGTATGTCAACTGACTCTGAGAAGCAATCGGGGGGTCACTTGATAGACATTCGCGAATGAGACCAGCTGCGAAGTTTTGCAAACTGGGGCGAGGATCAGTAAACAAATTCTTCGCTAGCTGTTGATCCTGAAGCGAAGTGCTGACAAGACCGCTGCGTAGCAGAGTCGCAGTAACAGGGATGTTAAGTTTGCGCTGAAGCGATGTAAGCGCTGCGTATGTGATAGAGAACCCTAGCACTAACCTCATCCTCCGCATAAAGCAGCCACGTTATAGCCTCTTTAGCGACGTCTTCAAACGTGCGGCACAACTGGTCCAACAAGGCAACATAAATCTCTCTGCCAAGCTGAGAGCTCGTCTTGTACAAGAGCTGAACAATCTTCTGAGACATGTGGAGGGGAGTGCGGTTATGATCGATGGAACTTGCCGCGACAAATAGGATCTGCCGAACAAGATGACGAAGATCATGATTAGGAGGAAGGGCAGCCAGTGATTGGATGGGCAACTGGATGATCAGGCCTTCTAGGTCCCTCAGGATCGTCTGCACGCAATGATCAGGTTTCCAACAGTGTAAAATGGAGGGCATGCTTACAGTAAAGCGTTCCATTGCTTCCTGGTGGGACATCGTATGGGATGCGATGGCTGGGTCTGGGGCAGGAGAAGCGGCATAGAGGGCTGGATTCAGATGTTCATTGCGAGCATACGACACCGTTGAACTCGGCCTACTCATTGGTGCACCACGCTTCGAGTCCAGGGCTGGATTGAGATGAAACGTCAAGATAATTCACATCAAGATATTGATAATGTATAAACATACCGAAATCCTCATAGACCGCCGCTTGATGCGGTTGCAGTCCTGTCGGCTTGATACGCAGAGGATCCGGAAGACTAGCGGAGAAGTTTGAGGGCGGAGCTGCAGGATCCCAAAATGCCTGCCCACTCCGATGCTGTTGGGAAGTAGAAGTCAGCTGCAGTCTAGTAATAAATTCCAAGTAATATACCTCGCGGTAACGACGACGAGCCTCATATGAAGGAGCAAAACCATCATCCACATCTGTCACTGCTCGCTCCATGGCAGCCTTTTCAATTGCTGCACAGGCAACGTCTACGTTATCTTGCACGAGGATGGTCAAGACTTGCTCGGATATCGTTTGCTGAAACGCTGTAAGTAATCGTCCAGTATCCCACGTGTCAACCACCTACATCATTGAATCCATGATCCACCAGAGAAGAACGCAAGTGACCTCCGAGATTGCTTTTCAAAGGTTCCTTACAGGTGACCAATGCGAGACTCCCGGCAAGCTTCTGCGCCATCAGGTGCCCAGCCTTACGCAACTTCTCCTCATTAGCCTCCGTTGCGAAGTCCTTGGCAACAAGCTCGCGAGTGGAGATGCCAGCGATCGTCACAGATCTCTCAACAACTGGAATAATGATCTGACGGGCTCCTCAGATAATGAAACAGAAATGAAGATCGAGGCGCTTACCTCCCGGACAGCATGGTCGACAGCAACCTGCACTGCACGCTTGAAGGAGTGGTTACCATTGTAGGGTGCAAGTTGCGTGCTGACCACAACGCTCGTGCCCAGGCTCGAGAGAATTGACTCAATATGGGCCCCTACGGCACGTTGAGGCTCAGCTGTAGGTGTAGGCCCAATTGGCATAACTTGGGTTTCACCCTGCATACGAGTAGAATCAAACCCGTTCATCGGCATCGAGTCTATATCGGTGACATATTCGGGGATGGCAGGTCCTGTATCGCCAGCAGTGGCCCTGTGGCGGACAACGTTCATAATCTCTATGGTGGCGAGATCGATATCGAGGGCCTTGCACAGCATCTCGATCTCAAACTTCATGTTCAACTTGATTTCACCGTAGTGATAGAACTCGGCTAGTAGAGTTATGACCGCCATCAGCCAAGGGTTGGGTGGTTTGAAGACCTTGGATTTGGAGCAAGGCTCGAGGGTTTTGCAAACGAAGGGAATGGCGACAATCAGGCGTCCATGGTCAAAGCCCTCCAAAAGGAGGTCCTTGAAGGCAAGATTCTTGTGACGAATCGGCTTGTCACGAGCAAGCGTGATGGTCCCAAGCCATGACGCGATGTTCTTCAGGACCAAACGCTCGGAGGTGATCTGCATTGTCTTCTCGCTGTTCAACACCGTTGCTGCTTTAGCAAATGTCTCTTGCAAAATATACTTCGACAAAACCCGTTTGTCAAGCGCATCGAGGAAACGCAGATATAACTGGTGGTTGTTAGGCTCGCTGCTGATACGTTGGTCTACCAGATAATTAGCGAACCACCTCGAAAAGGCATCGTCAAACTGCTCTTTCATCTCCAATAGTTTGGCGTCGAAGTTACTGGGCGCGAGATTGTTCACGATAAACAGAATCTTGTCGGAGAGCTCCTCCGGTGGCTCTACGATCTCCGTATCAAACTTGTCAGGGCGGATAGAAGTGAATACAGGCGCAGGGTCAGCCGTAAGACCAGCAGAGATACCGCGCATATCAGCATTACTGCGGGATCCGTCGCCGCCAACAGCAATAGCACGGTGAATGACGGCCGTTAGATCGGGGCGAACCTCCATAAGATGGGGGATTCTGAGAAGAGCCTGACACAGAGGCTGCCACTCAGCAAGGCGAGTTTCAAAACGGGAGAGGGCTTGAAGACCAAACTTGAAAAGATTGGTATCGGGAGGACAATTGAGGGCATCGACAACGTAACGGATGGCAATTCCAAGAGGAACTGAATCTACAAGATCGTGATGAATGATAGAGCCAAATAGATATCCGGTCATGGCAAGCTCGCGAGCGGGGTAGTAGGATTGGAAGAATTTGTATTCATCAAAGAGGAAGTGGAGCATGCAGGAAAAAATATCGTGGTCACGAGTATCGGATGAGACTTTGCTGCGTTGGAGAAGGGATATGACTTCGTCGATAGAGGTCTGTTCGTCGTACATGTGCTTATAGATAGCGTCAACCTCACTCTCAATCTCCGATGAGTAATTGACGACAGTCAATCCAGGATCGATATCGCTACCGGGGATGAGGCTCATGAGACGAGGGTGAACCTGCAAACAGGAGTTGCGAACTTCAAGACAGTAATCAATGTCGTCCCGGGGCATTTTGGCAGAACTACAAACAAACAAGTAAGAGAAACGAAAAAAGGCAAAAAAGGGATGTATACTCACTTGTTACGAAGAATGCGTAGGAATATGGCGATAGTGTTGGGATTTAGGGACAGCGTACGACTGTCGACAGCGGGGTCCGACATTCTTGCCACCTTCTCGCTCTCCATTTTGACTTCCAAAAATGCAACCATAGCGCGTAGAAACTCTGCTCCATGTTGGTTAACGTTATCGGCCAACCACTTGTCGAGGTTCAGGTACTCTCGGCGCGATGCCAGCGAAGCGACATCCAGGGCAAATGTAAAGGGCCGAACATCGAGCAAGCTCTCCAGAATCTGATCCCATTTATAGTCATCATGAGCGCCTTGAGGCTCACTTTGGCTTACCTTGAGGTCCTGAGCTACGTCCAGGATCCTCGAGATATTGAGAGGATTTTCCTCATAGAAGTCGCGGAATGCATCAGTCAGATAGGTCGGTTCGATCTGCCACAGACGCATGAAGACCAGCTGGTGGTTAGGATGTCCGGCAAGGAACATGGCTAGAAGTTTCCGAGAGTATTCCACGCGGATTTCGTTCCAGTTCGCATCCTTGACGCTATTAAGAAAAAGAAGGACGTGAAGATAGAATAATAACTTACTGGCACTTGCAATAGACCCATTTGTACCAGTTCGGCGCTTATCTTTAGTGCCTTGTCGAGCATATCCCTGACACATGAGCGAATTTCGGCGCTGTCCGAGTCCGCGAGTCGTACGAGAACCTCGAAGACATCCAACGAATTCCAAGTGTGACTCTGTACATTAGCTGCAAGGGACTTGATTGTGGGGCTCGCAACTGCGACATCATCCACTGTAACGATCCTCCTGCCTGGCAAAGATACAAAATTGAAAGTATCCGCAGGTAGTGAGAGCAACGCATCAAGAAGTTTTAGTTGGTATAGTGAGTTGGACCATGTCCCCCAGAAACCAATCACAGCATGAGGATCAGCGTCACGTGGGCAGTTGAGCAGAATGGCAATCAGAAGCTTTAAGGTAGCAGTATCCACCCCATGACGGTCAGGTAGATCAAATGCCTTAATGACATTCGCCCAATTCAAGGTAGTGTGCTAATCACGCACATCAGTAAATGCAAATCTCAATCAAAGAGACCCTTACAAAGCTGCTTAACGCCCTGACCAAAGCTCCGACATCACATAATGTTGTACCCTCCGCGGCCAATCGAGCTAAATTGGACATAATCTCCACCAATTGAGTGTCTCGAGGAGGATTAGCTTCCGAAATCCCAAATCGTTGAAGCAGAGCGCAAACAGTATCTGGATCGCTGGTAATATCAGGACCCAACTGAATCAGTGTCTGAACCAGGGAAGTCCCAGGAGGCAAGCTGTGCAAAAGGGTTCGGGTTAATAGTTGACGAAAGTGGTAAACACATTGCCCTGACCTTAACGTTGGAAAAATGCGCTGCAGGATAGGAGCAACAATTTCGGGCCCATACTTTGCCTGCGCAGCAGCAATGAGCGCTTGACGCTGCGTGGGATCCAGGATTGGGGTCTCGGAGGCGGACTCGGAAAGAAGATTTGACATGAGTTTCGCAACTTGCTGAGGTGAAAGATCGGCGTGGTCGAATGAGGGGTGCTGGCAGAGTGCAAGTACTGCTATTTCAAAGTCGTGTCGTATAAGGGACATTGCTTGGGCAGCAAGTTCCTTCCTCGTGGGCGAAGAGACGATAGCGGAGGTCAGGACAAGTCTCTCCAAAGGACGTAAAGCCACCCGATCAACGAATCGGACGAGATCAAAGTGCCTGAATGCGTCCCCTTCGCCCTTGTCTATGCCCTCACGAAAACGGTCAGCGAGAAAAGGGTCACGAGCGAGTCGTTGAGTTTCTTGAACGAGGAGTCGAAAAGTCAATGCAGTGGAAGTATCAAAAGCCGATGGAGGCGCTGAAGATGCTAGTCTGCCTTGGGAATGAACAATCAAACGACGAATAAAATGGAGGTATGTGTCAACCCCGTGCTGCTCAGAAAGCTAAAAAGGAGTTTTCGTGAAAATAGGAATAATTCAGTGACACAAGAACAGCCAATCTAATGCTGATAATACTCACCGAACGGATTTCAAGCTGATTGCGATCAAAATTGTCTTCTGTAAGGGTTGAAAGAAGGAAGACGATTTGAGCCTTTACAATTGTATGTATATTGGCGTTTGGAGGATTATCCATCGCCGAAGACCTGGCAGCAGTCTCCGGACGTCGCGAGACGATCCCACCAGCGGACGCCGTTTTGGTGAATAGAAGTAAGAAAGTATAGAAAGCGCGTAGGCCGAGTCCAACAGTGAACACACCAGCCCGGTGGCAACTCGTCCTCGCTGCCAACACACAAATCCGGATCCTATTTTAAAGCTCCGATTGAATATACTTGAATTTTACCCGGTGATCCCTCCTGACGATGTGAGTTAAACGTTTAAAAGAGCGTTGACAGTACATTAACGTTTTAACCATTGGGTATCGACATTGTTTATCAATCGTACGTTGCGACATAGGCCACGTCGTTTCAACGGGTCATGCTATCTTGTGTTACTATTTCGAGTAACGCTTTCGTGGGCTGTCGGGCATTGGCATGAGCTATTGTGACGGACCCATTGTAAATGCGCGAGCGCCAGTCGAGGCCTTTCACTGACTTTAATGTCACATACAGCTAACACGCCAGTGAATGGCAAACAACAGGACTCGACTTCATGCTTTACTCAACCTTCACGTTTTCAGCCTACCCGCTCGCCAGCGTGCACAGGCAGTTCACTTACCTTGAAATATGCTTGCAAAGCACCAAAGACTGTGAGCCCAATCTCGCTAGAGCTAAGTTTGCTATTATCGATGTTAAGATGTTAGGCGTGAATAACTTTATGATATAGCACTTCCATGGGAGCACTTGTAGCAAACGTTTGCGACGACTATACGTTCAAGCCTCCGAGTCGATGTATTCAGTTCTTTTCTGGCCAGAGTAGCAGCAACCACCACTTGAACTTCTTTCAGACTACAGGTTTTGACCGTGATAGCCATAAACATCAAGGGACTTTGCCGCGAGCTGTCATGCATGATACGCCACTGTCAGCCAGCATTCAGCTCTTCAGGTCAGATGAGAGCGTGGCATGTGAGGGTTCCACGACCATTCAATGCGTATGAACTTCTCTCCGTTGGTTTCTAATTACACTGTCCATCAGTGTTAGGACTCGTGGAGTCCCTGTGGGTGCCTCGTCCACCGTGATTAGCCTTACATCATGATATACTTGATACTGATTTATATCGTAGTACTACCAGGTGGGAGGGCGTCCTTGAAAATATTACTCATAGTTGCAGTAAAATGGCCACTCAGGGAACTGATCCTGTGAAGAAATGCTGATTTTAACAAGTAGGCTGTACCACAGGTTGTCACGCCATCAGACTTCACAGCAACCCTCTGGTACAAACCTTGTCTGAGAAGGTTCAACTTGGTTGAATCCGTCGATATTATATAATCCCGGTTTTTATTCTTCTCCCGCAGTCTCCAGTCGGATATGTGTCAAAATACCGTCAACAGCTCCGCGGTCATGTAATGTGTCATTGTCTTTCCTGAATGAATGTATTTAAGTTCGTCCCAACGTTGCGACTTTCTCTAGTTAACTACCATGCTGCCATTTTACTGCCCTGCTGCTCGTCAATTGCAATTTAGCTCCTACGCGGCTCACTGACTGATCTTTTTAGTGAACTTCTCTTTGGTGCGCGGTCTCCAAGATAATGATGATATCGTATAGTTCACAAGTTGGTCAATCCTTTTCGTATTGCTCTTGACTTCACCTGTTGCCTTTGTTTCAAATCAATGGCAATAATACCATAGGATTGGGACGAAATGACAATATTGCGTTGTGCCTTCATGCATCTCGCGAAATATTCACATCGCCAGGTGTTGATGCGTGCGTGCTCTCTGTTGAATCGGGTGTTGATGTTGCGGTTTCTGGATGTAGGGTTGTCGGCGCTGCTTGCGTTATACGAGTTGGTCAATACATTTCGTATTGTTTCTGACTTCAGAAATATTTACATCACTGGGTCTTGACGTGTGCGTGCTCTTTGTTGAATCGGGTGTTGATGCTGCGGTTCCTGGATGCAGGGGTTGTCGGCGCTGCTTGCGTTATTGCCTGATGAAGTGCAGCCTGCAGAATTGGCACCAATTCTTGATCGCCGCTAATGCTCGTGTTCTACACGCTGTCAAATTGGATCCCACAATACATTGCTCGCTTGGAGTTTTACTAAGCAGAAATCTCATTATCTGTGGGCATTCAAATTGACTGGGTTTTTAACTGCACTTGCTCCATATTTATCGATCGACTTTGTGCTCCCTATACTCCCAAAGGTGGCCCGCTAAGAGGAGGTTTGAACGGCGTGGGTCGATGGCACGTTTTGTGATCCGATTTCTAATAAGTACCTTCTGAGATCTAAAGTTTGCTGGCCATTGGGATGCACAGGAAGAAGTTAATGAGGCCAGCTTAGAAATGTTTGGCACTGGTTAGTGGCGGTTTCTCTTTCGAAAAGCCCCCTTTCTCATGGCCTTGACCAGCATCTGATTTCTTATATAACGCTCATTCGTTCGCACCTTTCCAACAAACTTGGAATTTATCAGTATGGGTCGATCAGACGACAACATTTCCGATGGAAAGCCACATCCTACAATGCACGTTCCAGCAGCCCAGCTTGGCAGTCTGTGAGTGAGGCATAGTTAGCTGGAGCACTAGCGACTTACAAGTCTCGTCATAGCACACTTCCAGCGGGGTATCCTCAACATCAGAACATTTCACCTTTGCTGTCTGACCAGTTGAGGTGAATCTTCACCACTAAATGATCATTCCCTTCTTATTGGTTTTAGAAGGGACACGACATCGCGTTCTCGTGAAAACGTCCCTTCCGGTTTTCTCCTGCATTATTATGCACAGTCACAGCCTAGGTGTGTGGTTCGGTAAATTGCGACCGCTCCATCTGATGGTGATCTTAAGAGATGTTTTTACACATTCTGGCGCCATCGGTGGTTCAAGGTATTTGAGTCTGTCCATGGCATTTCATGCTGAGCTCATTCTTCCTCCCATTCTATTCATCTAGTGCATACCGCTCTGCAGAAGTCGGTTCAGCTGCTCATGTTCCATATGGTATTTCAAATAGAGATTCTCTTGAAGTGTCTATGCATTCACTGCAGGACACATCAATGCAGTCTTCGGCAATGGTTGTACCATCGCACACAATCAATTTCCCTGCTCAGAGCTACGAAGGCAATACCATCCATTCCCCTCGGCTACATCACGCAACTCCGCCTTCCGACGTTGACGCAAGGTATTCAAGTTTACACACGGTATCTCACTCAGGTTCATTTTTCCCTTATCTAGCACAAGGAGCTTCGCAAATAATTGCTACATGTCGGATGCCGGTCCGCCTGCTCATGCACATGTTTCAGGTGGAATTCCGGATAGAAATTATTTCTTTGCAAATCCTGTACCATTACGGCGGGACACAGTATCGCAGCCGTTCAGTGGCACTGCATCATACGAAAGCAAGGCCCTTGCTCCGAGAGACGAAGGCGACATTAGACACGTCTCAGAATCGCTTACCACATCCTTCTATGGTCCAGTGTACCGTCGCTCAGACCATTCCCGTTATGGTATGGCACCCTCTCACCCTCCACCGCAGTCATCATCGTCAATTCCAGCACCCAGGACAGAGACACTTCTTCCTAGTGCACATCAACCGAATCTCTTCGTGCAGCACACTGACCGAGTCGTGCCATTTCGTAGGCATGATACTCAGCGGTCAGCTTCTCCTCAAGTTTACCACATCGATGGCTGCTTTATAGATGAGGATGACCTTCCAGACCAAGGAACGAACAACGACATCATAATCGTCGGCGAATGTCTTCGCAGTGACTCACCGTGCGGCCTTTGGGTGAAAGCCGACAAGGGTTCAATCAAGCGCCATGCGCAGAAATGGCATGGGGTTGCTCGTGGGGGTGACACCAACACGGTCTTGTGTACATGGGCCGAGTGCAAAGCCGAGATGCAGAAGGGTGCTGTGCCACGACATACTCTGTGCAAACACTTCTGCGAAACATTTCAGTGCAACGGGTGTTTGAAAAAGTTCACTCGAGACCACTGTTGGAGATCTCATGTTGCGAAGTGTACGTCAAGTGGCACTGGTCATGGAAACCGTGTGTCGTATGACCCTAGCGTTCGTACCATCGATGTGAAAGGCATGTCTCAGACAGGTCGGTAATTGATTCTGAATGGGTGAGCATGATTTCTTCTTGATCTCGTTGATGGCGAGCTAATTCATGCATCAGAAGGGACTGAATGAGCCAAAAGGTCCATTCAAACCAAGTTGTCGTGATTCTCCTTTCACCCGTTCACGCAGTATTGCTCTCAGCGCTCACTGATTCAGATTTTCGCACTCTGGGTTTTTCCAGGTACCGTTACTAATAGCTAGCCTACTACGTGGCCGGTACAAGCTCTTGCAGAGGCAGGCAGGCATCACCATCGTAACAGAAGACCGATTTTTTAATCCGCACAGCTTTGATGTAAGCCCGAGGATGACAGAGGGATAGCACGGACCGCAGGGTGGCCCTGCCATTAGCACCGTTGGAGCAATTGTATGTCTAGGTCTCGTACCGTAGCACATGTGTTACTACGCATTGGCTGACTTTTCCAATTTATTTTTATGCATGTATTCATATCTCAACCACTGGATCTTAGATGGCCTCTTAGTGTGCGCACTCTCTAGGGAGTGGTAGGTTCAAACTTAAGAGTGAAATGCGGCATGTACCCTCTTATAGTACCGATCGACCGACGACAGGATGCTCGGGTCGGAACCCGATACGTAAAAATATTGGCTATAGCTCATCGATATCAAATACAAATACAAATATGAGAATCACCAAGCTAATACCTGAAATCATAGGACCTTTACACTTCTCCAATCACGTTGCTCGCTGATTCCGAGTTGGACAACATCAGGGAAAACCTTCCCCAGGAATTACGGCAAATTTGCGTGAATAATGGTGTTTTATTGGGTTTTATCGTCATGTTTCATGTTAGTGATATTTATGAACTAACCAACAGCCCCCGACGCCTTCGTTGCAATAAAGTGGCATAAAATGCAATAAAATGCAATAAAGTGTGCAGTATTAGGGAGTCTTTGTTCCATATTATCTTAAAGCAATATCAATGAAAATGAGGTAAACATTATATTGTCATTGAGACTCGACATATGATACATTACATAATGACTAATGAGCAGGAGATTTTACTTGACAAGACTAGTAGCGGCAGCATGCATTGAAAGAAATAGCGCAAAAAAACACTAATCAGACTCGCCACCCATGTTTGCCCAGTCGACGTGCACAATAATCTGCTCTTTCAAAAGTCAGACAAGCTCCATATTGAACTTGCTAGTCTTGCCACCATTATATTGGACTCAACCTAAGATGGCACACCATGAGCTGAGGCAGCAACAAACAAGGAAACACAAACCGTTGTAGAGATTCGCGCCTCTCAATGCCGGACATATGGCCCCACGAACCACATATTCCTTACATATTCCAGCTCTTATCCGAAGGATCAGTCATACGCGCTCCCGCGCGCGCGCCATATGTTCGCGCGCCTCATATGCACTCGCGCGCTTCCACGCGCGTCCGTGCGCCTCCCCTTAGGTCTTCTCGTGCCTACCCGTCCGTCCGTCCGTCCTATGTCCTCACTGATTTGCTGGTGCGTTATTCTTATCTCTTTCATTGAATTGATGTGCACTCGGTCCGATTCCCGCGCTTACATACAGAAAGTCTATCTTAGACTTTAGATTATATTTAGAGTTGATATGGTTACTCGGTTCGGTACCGCGCTCGGAAGCGCCGCATAGCGCTATCTCCCTTCTTAAATAGAGGGAAGTTCTTTTACTTCGGTTACTTTTTTCCCCCCATTTATCACAGTATACTGCAAGTTGTGTAGTGCACCTTAGTACTAGAAATCTGATTATACTTCTCCATCTGCTACAGCTCGCGCCTCTATTATACTTGAAACCATATCCCTTATCACTCATAAGTGCGCTACCGCATACGCGCGCGCCTCTCGCATCTCGCGCGCCCTCGCATCGCTCACGCGCGCTTCACGCGCGCCTTCATATCGCTTACGCGCGCCTTCATGCGCGCTACCTTCTCGTGCCTACCAGCGCCCGTCTAGTTGACAGAGTTTCCCTCCACCTTATTCGCGAGGAACTTCTCTCAGTAGCTGTCCTTTGGGTCGAGTTGTATTCTCGTATCCAGGTCTTGCTGTAGAGCCCCCTTACCTTTAGTGTATTCACCCACAGTCAAGATTCCTCACCTTCACCGTGGTAGCAACACTTACATAAATTGAGTGCGACAGAGGTGAATGCGGTGTGTAGTCTGAAACATACAAATGAGAAGAATCGGACATGGTGTCTTGACGAAATGCAGTAGATGAGTGAGAGAAGCAAGGGGATAGAAAGGATTGAAGACTCGCCATTTACTGACAACTATGAAAGTTAATTTTAATTCCGGTTTTCAAGTCCTTGTTCCGCCAGATATCATCAATCGCCCCTAGTAGATACTTTTAGGAAAGGAAATGGCCGTCGCTGGACTAACTCACCTGTGATGTCCTCAATTTCTTCTTTGCCCACGATGGCATATCTGCCATCAGAAAGCCCGTCTCGGAAGAATATGATCTGCATGGGTGCAGTCCTGTTATGCTCGCCAAACTCGTTGATCATACACTTGTGATAGAAAAGCAGACCTACGAGGACGGTTGCAGGAGAGAACAGTTCATGGAAATGAACAGAGTGCTGAAGCCAGAGGCTTAACAAGATAATGAATGAAAACATTAGCATGACATAAAGAAAATTGAAATCCGCCAGAAGATTGTTGAGTGCCGCCAGAGAGAAGCAGACATAGATGATGTTGTAGAAGTGTGGAAAGAAGTAAAGGTGGGAATCAGTCAGTGAACAACAGTGAAACTTGGTGAAGTTTGAAAGCCAACCGTCATGTGACTCGTTGACACATGGGACCTGTTACAATAACATGCTGCCTTCACCCTATGCTCCCTCTTCCCGACTTACCGACACGGCGGAACACCGCCAGAAGACTAGAGCGGCCTGGATGCCACTGGATACCTAGAGCAGTCTAGAACTAGAGCTGCTATGACGTCACCCCTGGCCTAGAAGGCCTCCCGATCCCATCATGATGGCCGTCCGCCTCATGTAGAACTAGACCGATGCATGCCACCTCATGCATTGATAGACTCTGAGGCCGGAGCGCCTCATGTACTTATCTTGACATAGAAGAGGCGCCTCATTGCATCTTATCAGACAAGCATGGCTTGTCTCATGGATCTTATCTCTGACTAGGATAGATCCACAGATACAGACTCCTCCTGAACTATGTAGTTAGAACACTATATAAGATAGACACATATCATTGTATTCCTTACTTTGATATACTTGGTTTTCCCCAGAACATCCTCTCAGAGAGACTCCCAGTCCCTCTGTCTAGACCGCACTTCTAAGGCAAGCCGACACTACCTTAGCCGTACATCCGTTAGCCCTACGGCTTGACGAGCCGCCGCGCTTACCAAGCTTGTCGGAGGATACCTCGACCTTCGATCGAGCTTAGAACCTGTCCTTCTGTCTACGCGTGACCACTAGACGATTAGTCAATCCAACTAGAGAAGGCTCGACCTATCCAAGTCGTAACAGGACCTCACAATTTTCAACCAAGGGAGCTTCAGGATTAGTAATCATTAGTCATTCAATTTTCAAATTTTTGTGAACATTCATTTACCTTGCGACTCCGTGCTCATCGACAACTCCCACCAAATCAAGTTCTGGAATGATGAGATACATGTGACTGAAACACTCAACTCCATACACACTCTGCTCAGAGCCATGTCTACACAAGGTGAGACTTTTTGAGTCCACTGGATCCTCCACTGATATAAAAAAATCATTAGATTTACGTGTCTTGCAGGTTCACACCACCACAGCATATTGCCTATGTCAAATGGTTTTCGGCCTTTAGTCCTTTACCAGATCCACGCTCTGGGTTGTATATACACTTACTTCAATGTAAGATAGGACACACATAATTTTCGTGATAATGTAGTTTTCCATAATAATAACTGAAAAAACTGAGTAAAGTCAAGTAAAACAACATAATGTTGTAAATATATGAGTAATTCTCAGGGGAGGTTTTTCCTGATGAAGAATAGGTACACTAGACTGTGAAAAATACTAGGAGTGGCCTGGGAGCCGTTTCGGGGGCTGAGGCCCAATGGGTGGCGACGTGTTCTGACGAATTAATACATATGCCACCCATTTGTCGTGTATGCAGTGTATGTGTATACTAACTAGTAGGACTGCTGTTGCTTGGTCTATTCTTAGAGCCTCAGGCTAAGGCTCGATACTAGGGCTCACTCTCTGTGTTTCCGCACCAAGAATATCAGTTTGTGTTAGCTGCGAAAATTTACCAGGGTTCCAGCTATCCATAAAGCATGAAAGCACTGGAGTTTTGCTACTTGGGTTCACTTTGAGCCTACCCTCACCATTATGTTGAGTAATGAAGTGCTACTACAGTAACTGTATGTGTAGGGTCTCGTCATGCCAGTGAGATTTTCAAGTTGCTAATTTTTGCCATTTGGCAATCTGTGCTATAGCTATGCGGCGCCCGGCCCCATTCCCATTGAGGCCCGTTACGGCTTGCTGTGGCGAACCATGGCCAATCACATAATGACAGGTATACAGCGAGTGGCCCATCTGTCCTCGGCAACAGCCTAATTGATCCACAGCTTCTCAAGGAATGTTATATAAGGAGAGACAGGCTCATATCACAGCGCGACATCTACCTCTGGCGGTCTTGTCAACACTTCAATCAAGAGAGGACTTTACCCATTCTATGTCTGCTTTATACAGCAACTGTGTTGCAACCAGTTAAATTGAGTATTGTCCCGCCTTGTGATTGGGCAACTACTCGACATCTGCTCGAAAGTCATCATTATCCTCTTCGCTCTTCGAGCGCGGACTCGTCTGCAAGAGGGTCTTCTTGCTCATACAAGTCGCACTGCTTGTCAAGGAACACCATGATGGACAGTTTGCATGTGCCGGCGATGCCCAATGAGGAGTACATTGTGATAGAATCTAGTGGGCTCGCGTGTTGACCAGTGTACTAGGGTGAATCGTCTTCTTGATGGCCTTCGAATTTTCTGCAGGCCCACCATAGGGCATGGTGGCTGCTTTTTCGTCATTTCAACGCAGTTCACTTCCCTTTACCTGTTATTGGACCTAGTGATTTTGGGCCGGCTAATCTTGCTGTACTGCGGGCTAACCAAATTTTCTGTACTATATATAGGCCGGCTGTATCATGGGCCAGCTGTATCATGGGCCAGCTGTATTGTGGGTCAGTGTTAAGGTCATACTCTCGTAGGATCGGATCCGAAGGACTTTGGCCTCAGCTCGTACGCTGTGCCCCTTTCCCAAGTACTGTCCCTTATTTCAGAGACTAACGATAACGCATCCGAAGGTCCGGACGGGTCTCATAGTTATATCCGGATGACTTCCAGATATCGGAAACATGTATAAGACTAATCCGGACGGATCCGGACTAGAAACAAACAGAGTATAGACTATCCGAAGATAGAGGCGGAGACGTAGACTATCGGAATCGATCCGAAGTCTCAGAGATCGACAAGAGTTGATTAGACTCAAGTCCGGAGGACAGAAAGAGGACAAACTAAGATGATATTCGAATTGAGGTACTACAGGAAATATACACGGGTTTATATACTAAGAGGATAACGGAAGGATCAATAAGCAAAGGTCCGAGGCTATGTACGAAGCATATGCAAAGCTTATCAAACGCGAGTCGGAAATGAAGCATAGGATAACAGATCAGTAATCATACCGGTAATAAGTCTAACCGAGACACCGGTGTAGAAACAACAATACAGAGAGGAACAAAACAATGCTCCAGACTGTATCTGTAAATGTTGTAAGGTCGTGCATTGCCTAGTCTGCTATACTTGAGACGACAAGTGCGTTCGACCCTAAAGGGGAAGCGAGTGCAGCAAGGATCTAGTAGTGTGCGCCGAAGGTGCTACTGGTCGGCTGATGCGAAGCGCAGGAAAGCGAAGGTACGCGCGAGGCGCGGGAAGTGCGCGCGTGCGTGAGCGGAAACAAGTGAGAGTAAGAGTGAGTTTGCTTAAGTGGTGATATGATGCAAGACAAGAGATGTGAGTGCGAGGTGCCAAGGAATAGATTGCAACTATATTCTGCTAGGTAGTAGATGGGTAAGTGGGAGGTCCAGTAATTTTCTCCTGGTAGGTAATGCTGGCACTTATATGGCGCCTAAGCGCTGTCATGCGGAGCCGAATCGCTACTGAGTAAGGTATGTAAAGATATATGTATGTAAGTAAGGGTCCATGATATAAATAAAGGTGGAATGATATGTAAATAAGGGAAATGGAAATACACGCACTAGAGAGCTTGGTGGACAGTGGATGGATGCTTCCGGAAGGCTGGCGCTATGGGGCGATCAAGCGCGGGAAAGCGCGCGCGCGTATACATCGTAAAGTGTGGGAATGGTGCGCGCATGGCGCGCATTGCGTGGGAAAGCTGCGCCTCATATAGGGATAGCTGCAGATAGCACACAGAATGGTGCTGCAAGTTCATGCAATGAACTCCCTAGTGAAAAGTGCCATATCACACCATGAGAGGCATGAGTCTCTACACCGGTGTAGGACACGAGCTGGCGCTGGGCTCGTATCGAGCTATTTCACAGTACACGCCAAATACCCGTCACATGCTAATCACTTCCTGATGTTATCCGACGCTAACCTGCCAACCCGACGTTTAGGCCGCATCGGACCCGATGTTTTCCCGCGCACTTGTCCTATCCGTGTCCTGTCCCGTCTTGCTAGCCCCACTAGGTGTGTAGTTCATTATTTCACACATCACTCATGTCGTAGCCAGCGCTATTACATGTTTTCCCATAGTCCGCAGCGCCTCATGTTTATTTACATGTACTTCGGATCCGAAATACTCCGCCGCTACTTTCGCCTACGGGTTCCGCATTTCTACGTACTTACATATATATTGGACTGACCTCGAGCATTATTCATCATCCAAGTAGAGGGGAGCAGTTCCCCGATGCTTAGTGGTCAAACCCGATATTTCGTAGTTCTTAGTTGATATTGCGAATATCATCGCTCTTTCATTATCCGTATCAGTCATTGTTATTATCGCGCACACCGCTCGCTCTTCCGACGCTCGCTATAGCGTTACTATTAGTTTCCGACACCCCGAACCAGAACCCGATAACCCGAAACCCCGAAAACATCGGACCCGACGCTTTTGCATCGGACATCATAATTATACCTTCGGACATTGTTTCCCGCGCTCGGACTATTGACTCCACATCACTCACTTACCCCCAAGACTATTCCCAGACCGCAGACCCCTGGGTCGAACGCACTTGTCAGGCAAGTATAGCAGACTAGGCAGTGCAAAGACCACAACACAAATATATCAGTTAGGAGCAATCATCAATTGTTCCTCTCAGTATTGTTGTTTCTACACCGGGAAGAGGAAATACTGAATAGGCTGTGTTTAACGTTATATGAACAGGAAATGAATTAAGAAGCTTATCGGATATCGGATCGGACACGGATCTATGCATCGGACTGGACCGGATCTAAGGGTCCGAAGTCCGGAAGAGAAGCGTGAATATATGGGATATGACAGTCAGCTAACCTTGCTGTGCTATTACACCCCGCCTCCTCCTTGGCTAGTAGTGTGCCAGTTGCAATACTTAATGTAGCTGTTATGCAGTGACGATTGTCATTGTCCAACTTTGCTCGTTTACAAATTTGATTCAATGTCAATCAACAATATCATCCCGGGTCTCGTTCCGATTCTCACTTTTGATATAGGGGACGATTTGCCATTGCCGACACAGTATGTCTGTGCTTTTAATCAAACTTATCAGACCTGACCTCTCGCAGTGAATTTCTGCCCAACACAAGGGTAGTGGTATACTTTCCTCGTGACATTTATCAGCTGTTAGAGGTGTCACTTGGGGGGCCGCCCAATCTAATGTAAGTGTGCTTTGTCAAGCGCTATTCTGTCTTTACCTCCTATTTACAGAAATGCATTATTGCCGTCGTCTGTAGAAGTACAGCTTGACAATGGCGCTTCAGGCGTGTGTTATCGTGGTCGAATAAGGTGTGCATCCCGGTATATGTATGATTAGTCTGTGTGACAGCAGTACTAGTGGTATACAACCTGTCGAAAATCATTTCCCCGATGCTATGTTATACAATGACCACTCGAGGTAATTGAGTCTACATACCATTTGACCTATCGCTCATCCTTCCTTCCATTGGTTTCATAGTCCGCAGGACCCAATGATACCCCCACAATTTCATGAGAATGTGTATGGACCTTATCAAGCGCCGAGTGGCATGGATTCAAGCTTGGAGCATGGAACAGCAGCCCTTGGTACAGACTCTTCTGGCTTTGAGTCGACACCCCATGACCTGAACAACCACGCTCCCCTTCAAGTTCACCATCATTTGTTGCCTCCGGAGCTGCCCTTGACCATACAGTCAATTTTTATCCCTCCAGTATCGATTAGTACTACTACCACCTCCTTCAGCGCCCAACCATCTTTCCTTAGTGGCAGCGTGACCTTACCTACAATCCCCTCTGAAGATCATCAAGTCTCTCATCATTTGGGGTACGGAATTGCCTACGGGCATCAAATCCAGCAACCAGGTTATCCTCGGGCTTGTATGGTTGATGGTGTTCTAGTTGACGAAGAAGAACTTAGAAACCAGAATACCGACAATGGTTGCATAGACGTCCATGTATGCAACCGCGAAGACTCTCCCTGTGGTCTCTGGGTTAAGACAGATAGATGCTCTATCATTTGCCACGGGCAGCGGTGGCATGGGGACGCCCGAGGTGGTGGGGATAGGATAATTACTTGCCCTTGGTCAGGTTGCAGCAGCTGGATGCGGGCGGACACCATCCCACGGCATACTTTGAGCACTCACTTTGGTGCAGTGTGGACTTGCAGAGGCACAGGATGTTCAAAAGTTTTCACGCAATACCATAGCTTCATGGCCCACTCTCGGAAACGTGGTTGTCTTGCCGGGGCAACTGTGACGTACAACTCCGATACTCGTGTCATCAATACAACAAGTATCTGGCCTGCTACTGAGCCATCACGGTTGAGTGAGTTATTTGTTTGTTTATCCTTCCCGGTTGTTGATTGAACTCGTGCTTTCAAGGACAAGCAATGACGGCAGCACCTTCAACTTCTCTCTCGAGTTCGAGTTCGAGCTCGGTGTTAGATTCTGATTGATACTTTCGCTCGTTTGGATTCGCCATTTTCATCATGATCACAACCCCCATAATTTTTACATGAAAGCTTTGATATTCTGATGAATTCGCTGTGATGCATCACGTATACAGCCGATGATCTAGAAAGCCTCAGCCTGTGCATGTACATTGCAAGGAAGCACTATCACTACTACCTCGTCTATCTTGTTGCGCAAAGTATTGTCTCATTACACAGTGACCAGGTTCAAACGTTCACGTTGCTGACAAGAAATGGGGGTATGTTTCAAAGGGTCACTCTAAATACGATGCTCGATGCTTGACTCCACAGCTGCAGACTATTGCTATTGATTTTGACTTGCCCACGATCATCAATGACCATATAATGGGTAGGGTCGCTCGTGTTAGAGCCCGGCCGCTATGGTCGCATTATGATGTAAATAGATGGATTGGCTACAAATATTGCAAGTGGATAGTTCGTAGATGGTGAAATCGAAGCGGTTTGTACAGTTGGTCAATATAGTTGTAAGAATATTTGCTATCATCATGGCCGGGAGTCCAATAAAATGAAGGTAGTCGTTCCTTCAGGAACGAGTGCCGGGCTAAAGCCTAACAGCGTACCCGCTCAAATGATTCATAAAAGGATGAGACTATTACTTAGCTGTGCAGGAAAGACAACGATATGGAACCAGTCGACAGCAGGAATGCTTATATGGAAAAAAAAATATGAAAGATGTGAGTATGCTGCATAGCTATTCACACAGCTTGAGTACAGGATGTACCTGTGGGTGGACAGCGATCATGATTCTGGGCGGCTACTATTAATTTGGGTAGTAGCATGCCAATATACAGCATTTCGGAGAATATTGTATAAAAGCTCACGATTGATGTGGTACAGCTCAATGATATGGTCAACTTAATGGCTCCCTCACTCGTTCAATGTTTAGCATCACTGCAAAAAAAAGGCTTCGGCAATGTCACTCATTGCAAGTTATTTGGATCTTCTGTTTCCTACTTCACATCCACGATGTGAGCCTACTATTTCCACAGTGCCGTCATAGTTGTCAGCTGCATTCCATGCGAAAAGAGCAATATAGAACAATGGCTACATCAACCACATACACTTTGATTTCAAACAGAATCCTGCAGACAACATAGGATGCCCGTGAGTCTTGTCATTTCCGGATGTAACATGATAAAAACGATCTAGCCCATATCAACACTACGTCATGTCGGAGAGATGCATTCACCATCAAGAACGGTTGCAAGATACTGTCCACAGCATGATTGCGCTCATGGTCGCGACTTCCCAAATGATGTTGAAGAGTCGACAAGACAGGAACATAATAACAATGTAGAAACAACAATACCAAGAGGAACAAATGATGCTCCTGACTGTATCTGTAAATGTTGTGAGGTCGCGCGTTGCCTAGTCTGCTATACTTGAGACGACAAGTGCATTCGACCCTAAAGGGGAAGCGAGTGCAGCAAGGATCTGGTAGTAGGTGCTGAAGGCGCTACTGGTCGGCCAATGCGAAGCGCGGGAAAGCGCGCAGGTGCGCGCGAGGCGCGGGAAAGGGAAGGTATGCGCGAGGCGCGGGAAGCGCGCGCGCGCGTGAGCGGAAACAAGTGAGAGTAAGAGTGAGTTTGCTTAAGTGGTGATATGATGAATAACAAGAGATGTGAGTGCGAGGTGCCAAGGAATAGATTGCAACTATATTCTGCTAGGTAGTAGATGGGTAAGTGGGAGGTAGAGTAATTCTCTCCTGGTAGGTAATGCTGGCACTTATATGGCGCCTAAGCGCTGTCATGCGGAGCCGAATCGCTACTGAGTAAGGTATGTAAAGATATATGTATGTAAGTAAGGGTCCATGATATAAATAAAGGTGGAATGATATGTAAATAAGGGAAATGGAAATACACGCACTAGAGAGCTTGGTGGACAGTGGATGGATGCTTCCGGAAGGCTGGCGCTATAGGGCGATCAAGCGCGGGAAAGCGCGCGCGCATATACATCGTAAAGCGCGGGAAAGCTGCGCCTCATATAGGGATAGCTGCAGATAGCACACAGAATGGTGCTGCAAGTTCGTGCAATGAACTCCCTAGTGAAAAGTGCCATATCACACCATGAGAGGCATGAGTCTCTACAATGATGAGTACTCGGAGTTGCCGATAAGGTACCCTCAGCGACTGTCATGCTCTGCTTAGAAGTGTACATGAGCCTGCGGGACTTTTGGGACCAGCCATTTCAGAGACATTAATTCAGCATCCAGGAATGGCTTTGATTTGCCGTGAAGGGCACGCTGTTCTTCATTGCATTGCCTCCAGAGTTCACAAGAAGACTTTTGAAGACTTCCTCACCGTCCAAAATACCAGCTTTAGTTCATTGGTAATGCCAACCTTCATCAGCGGGTTGGATTGTGCTACGGAGTGCTACAGAGCGCTCTGTAGCACTCTGTAGTGAATTACGTTTACCTGATGTTATCCAAAGGTTCCTCTGCAGAACACTAAATCTCTCATCATCTAGAATATGGAACTCATCCGGCCCAGCACTCATGTCATTGGTGCAACAGATCTAAAACATGATGTTTGAGTGAGTCATTCGTTTGTTCACTCGTCGTTCCATTTAAAGCTGACATAGATACCCACCAGTGAAACCTCATCGCAGTGCACATCAGCCGACTCCCTTTCCTGACTACACTGTCCAAGCTGTGTCATCTCATGAGCATGATGCTCAGCAGTCAGTCTCCCATCAGGCTTTCGACGTCGACGGCTGTTTAATCAATAGGGATAATCCTGACGGCCAGGGGAGTGCCAATGACTGCATAATGATCGGCAAACATCTGTGCACAAACTCACTGTCGGTCTTTGGGTGAAAGCTGACAAAGGTCTAGCCATGGAACCAACCGGAATCACTCCTCTCCACCACTGGATCAGCTTTGATGAGCTCAAGGCAAGATACTATTGGACACGATGCAATAAAACAGTTTGAAGTATAACTTGTCATTTCAAGCGGGATCCAACGACACTGCAATGGGACCCAATACCAGTCCAGTTTGGATATCTAGCTTTTCAAATGGCAATCGAAAAGTGTCTATGTATTACATGGGTGCCACCGGGAAAATACGCCATTCGATTGGCAAGATGTCATATCAAGATTCGACTGCCTGCTTGGGCCACTCCTTCAGACCATCGCTTTCCGAGACTTATGAAACCGCTTTCTGGCTGTTGGCCTTCTGGTAATTATAATGCGGCCCATTTCCCTTTCTATATCATAGAACCGGCCAATGTTGCTGTACTATGGGCCAGCAGCCTTGCTGTGGTATGTAGCGGCCAACATGCTGTACCATGGACTTGCCATACACCGCCTCACTGGCTGCTCGTTTTCTAGAACTACAAGCCTTTCAATACTTAATATAATCATTATGACACTATCAAACACCGACTGCTGTCTAACACCCCTGGTCACACATCCAATGCCGAACAGAAATGTCATCCCAGGTCCCATTCCGATTGCTCATTCTGCTATGCAGGATCTATCGTCAGCGATCCAGTATGCCAGTATTTTTGATTGGATTCATCAGACCTGACATTTTGCAGAGAACGTTCGACTATCACAAGAGTAGTGGTATACATTCCTCTTGATAATTATGAGCTGCTGGCAGCGGCACTTGGCGGACCACTCAATCTAATGCAAGTGTCCTCTGAGTGTCAAGCGAGACTGTGTCCTCACCTCCCAGTTTTTCACAGGAATGTGTTGTTGCCATCATCTGTAGAAGTCTATATTGACAACGGTGCTACGGGTGTGCATTTCCATGGTGGCATAAGGTGTGTGTCCCGACACATGCACGATTAGTCTGTGTGACGACAGTGCTAGTGATATACTGCCTATTCAAAATCATTTCCCTGATGCTATCATTGACTCGAGGTAATTGTGTTTGCATACTGTTCGCCCTATAGCCCATACTTTCTCTGATTGATTTTGCAGTCCGTGGGGCACAATAAGAACATCACCATTTCACGAGCATATATACCCACCTTATCATGGGCCGAGCGGTATGCCCTGGGAGCATACCACCACAATTCTCGGTACAGGCTCTTCTGGCTTCGAGTCGGTGCCCCGTGACCTGAGCAGTCATGCCGCCCTTCGAGTTCATCATCCTTTGTTGCCTCCAGGGCTGCCTTCCACTGTACAACCCGTTTTTTTCCCTTCAGTATCATCTGGTAGCAATGTTGTTGCCCCTTTGAGACACCAGCCAGATTCATTTGGCGCTGGTGCTACCACACCTGAAATTCACCCCGCAGATCGCCGAATTTCTCATCCTGTGGGATATGCAACTCCATTGGCTCAAGGGCATCAAGTGGAGCATCCAGGTTCATATGGCTTCGAGTCGGCACTGGATGACATGAAGGGTCATGCTGTTCTTCAAGTTCATCAACCTTCGTTGTCTCCAGAGTGGCCCTGGAGCATGCAGCCTATTTCTATTCCTTCAGCGTCATCCAGTACTGCTGCCACCCCTCCTTTCAGTGCCCAGCCACCTTTCCTCGGTGGCGGCGTGGCCTTACCTCAAATCCTCTCTGCAGATTACCAAGTCTTCGATAATTCAGGGTACGGAATTCAATCGGCTCACAGACGTCACATCCAGCAGCCTGGTGGCCCTCGGGCTTACATGATCAATGGTCTTTTGATTGACGAAGAATACCTCATGGATGGAAATGGTGGCTACATAAACATCCATGCATGCGGTCGTGAAGGGCCTCCCTGTGGTCTCTGGGTTAAAGCGGACAAGCGCTCTATCATGCGCCATGGACAGAGGTGGCACGGGGACGCTCGAGGTGGCAGAGAAAATAAGAAAACCACTTGCCCGTGGTCAGGCTGTGACAGCCAGATGCTAGCGAACACCATCCCACAGCATATTTTGAGTGCTCACTTTGCTGTAGTGTGGATTTGCACAGGCACAGGATGTTCAAAACCTTTTGGGTGTCACGATAGCTTCAAGGCCCATTCTTGGAAATGTGGTAGTCTTGGAGCAATCGTGCAGTATGACGCCAGCACCCGTGTCATCGATACAACAAATGTTTCGAGACATTACGATTGAGTGAGTTAGTATTACTCTTCCCAGCTGTTGATTGAATGTACTTTCGCAGAAAAAATGGAGCGGTAGATCGTCTTCTCTCTCACGCTTTCCATCGTTATTACGTAACTTTACTCGTTCAGATGCATCACAAGGGGAGGGGCGGGGCGGGGTAGCATGTGTCATACCGTAGCTCATAAATTCGTGATGATATTTCAAACACTGCTTTGCCTGCCTTAGCCTGTGGGAGCACGAGCTATTTTCAGGCACGATGCATCAATATTTCGTCCACCTTGGATTCTTGCTCCACAAGGCACTGTCCCATGATTAAGAAAGTTGAGGTTTACAGGAAAATTCGATCCGAAAAGCCGAACAAAGAGTACAGGTTGGAGTATTTATTAGTTGATCGGTTTGAAAAAGTGTTGTTTCAACCGCCCAAAACTATTCTTAATCCACAGCCAGCGGTCAAAAGGCGGGGAACTGAATGCAGGTGGCATGCATGGTCCTGTATGTGCCCATGAACTACGGCACAGAGATAGATGGCCAATCCCAGACAGCTGACGATATCAGGCCTGCGATGGATATTGGCTATTCTGCTGTGCCTGAGCCATGGTCCTCTGCTGTGAAAAAATGCACCATTATCAAAGGCTCGTCCTATCATTGGACAAAGTTAGCTCACCTGCATTAACCGAACGGCCTGGTCTATTTGATCCTGTGTAAATTGACTATTGGCAAGAGTGGGTACCACTGGGTAATAATGAGCCTGCCGTGAAACGGTATTTCCGGGCATCTGAAGAGGCTGCATGGGTAGTTGCGGTTGCGCGGAGGGTGGTCGGGGAGAAGCAGCGTTGGATGGCGTGCCTATGTTACGCGGAGGAGTTGCTTGCGGTGCTACGCCAGGCGATGATGTTGCAGCGCGCGACTGATATGGGGGTGACAGGTGGGCACCAGTAGGAAGTCCGTTAATGGTAGGAGTAGGGCTAGCTTGTACGGGCGTTTGGGCTTGGGCTTGGGCCTGGGCCTGTGCGGCTGCAGCGATAGCACGAGCTTGGGCTTGGGCGGCTTGAACTTGCAACAAGTGTTGAGGGGACATACGAGCCCCTGCAGCGGCCGCTGATGCCATTGGTGTTGGCATTCTCTGCTGCTGAGAAATATTGACCTGCGTCACGGGTTGATTCCGTATTTGCGGGACAGCTTGTGCGGGCTGGGCTGCTGGTCTCGGTGTCCCATTTGGTTGCTGCTGCTGGGCTGCTGCTGCTACTGCCGATGCCGCCGCCGCCGCCGCCGCCGCCGCTGCCGCCGCCTGCTGGGGTTGCTAGCGACTCGCCGTCAGAATAGTGTTTGAAAATAGGTAAGATGACAACACATACACCGGCTGCGGCTGCGGCGGCTTGCAGCCTTGGGTCGCGTTGCATCATTGCCTGACGAGTAAGTTCCTCATGGCGACGTCGCGCAAGAAGTAGTTCCTGTTGCTCCCTCGACTCTTTCTCATACTTCATGCGACTAAGTTCAGCTGGTGTCAGTTTAGGCATTTTCTGATACTGCCCATGTGTATCATGAACATTGGATGCTTTTCGCTGATTCACTTATGAATTGATACGAACCAGTAAGCGCTGGAGAACTGTAAGTCACAAATATAGCTCACTGGACGCTTTTTGTGCTGCTTCGCGCTTCTTCGCAGCTTTGCGCATCGTCTCATACATAAATGTATGTCTCCGCCGTTTTTTGGTGTCAGACGTCAAGCCGGCTCCAGGACTTTGGTTCTGTGTAACCGACATACTAGCTAATCGCTTGACACCTCTCGTGGTCATCTGTCCTTGGGCTGAGGATGATGCTGGCGGCGGAGTGCGCTCCGTGTTGACAGGGGAGTTAACGTCAGGATGGACCCTGTGTCCGCTACCGAAGCGACTGCTCCAACGCTCGAAGCATTCCCAAGGAGTTCGTTTATCGGTGGAGATAGTGACACGCGAGGAGTTGAATGAATCCGCAACTAGCAGCCAGTTATTGGGATATCTCTCCACATGGGTTTTGAGAAGGGAATCTTCATCTGAGCTCCAAAGATGCTCCGAACGCTTCTTGCCGTCTTTCGATGGCAGTCCAAGGGAACTGACTGCGGATGGTCTACTGCCCTCAAAAAGGTCTGCGAATAATATTCAGCACCACTGTCATTTTCTCACGGCGACCTTACCTGAGGTAGTATCATCTACTGTCTTCCCAATTGCGCTATCGAAATCCACAGCCACTGCTGCTTCTTCAGCGAACATCCATTCCCCATTCACCCAATGCCTAGCAGGTTGTAAAGGTCCAAGAAGCGTCGGCTTGGAGTGCATGAAGCGACCCAACGGTGCCATCTTTGTAAACCCAGCATCCTCAACACGCCTGTTGTCTTCTCCTGACTTCTTATCCTTCTTCTTGCCCTCGTTCGAGCCAGAGACAACATCTGGCATGCCGAGCGGTTGAAGATCGGGGAAAATGTCCGACAGATCAGGGATGGGCAGCGATGGCTCAATCCCAGAGTCGTCTGTGGTCAGATCAGAGAGTGCTTTGGCAAGGACAAGGTCGTCCCCGTCGAGGAAAAGCTTTCGCTCATCCGAGTATGCGATCTGCTCTCTGAGCGGTGCATACAGGCTCGCCTTGGAGGCTTTGGATGATGACTCTGCAGGAGCAGCATCGTGCTGCGTATTTTGCTGCGAGGCAAGATTGGGGTCTGTCGAATGCGCCTTGAGACCAGTCTGATCATCGCTTTCGATCTTGGCTTGATTTTCCTGCTGCATGTCCACATTCATCACACTTGAATCCTGCAGAGCTGACGGATCATCAACATCCTCAACTTTGGGCTGAACATGGTCGGGGCCTGGAGTCTGGTGCTGACTACTGTCCGTGGACTCGTTAGATCCCGTTCCATCCAGTGCTTCTTCTAAAGCGTTGCGCGACTCTAGAGCGTCTGCGATATCCCTTTGCTCCGCCTCTCCCTCCTCCTCATCGCCATCGGACTCGTCTGCCATAGGGGTATATCCATTGTGCTCCGTAGGCCGTGCGTCCATGTCTACATCTTCCGTAGAGGCATTTTGAGAAGACCTGGGTCGCTTCCATAAAACACATATGCCAAGCCTAACCCTCTCCTCGCGACTCCCCGCATCATGCCACTCCAGTACAGCAGTCGACAGGTTAAACGCGATAACATATTTCCAGCGTCGCTCCTCCCGAAAATCAACGCGCATCCATTTCTGACCAGAACGTGAGCCAGATGCACCACAAGAATAACAGAGATCATGCCATTTCATCCATAAGATAGTCCCAGTGGGTCTTGGTCACACCTCCGAGATTCTTTTGTCTTTTGGGCTGCCTATAACTCCACTTTGCGACATTTTCGAGGCTTTCGACGCGTTCAAGGGTGCGCGTGAGCCTTACCTCGGCAATGGCAACCTACATACTTATAAGTACTTCATCTGGGACAGATTAATGTCACCTACACCCCAGTCACGCGTGCTCAGGCACTTGGTGGCACGAGAGACCTTCTTCCAGACAGGGTTTGCACGGATGGTTGCACCCCACTTGGTCAGACCCATGGGTGTCCATTCATCCTTGATTTTTCCGTCTGCTTTGTCGCGTTCCTTGTCTCGCTTTTTCTGTTTGGCAGACTTACCCTTGCGGAGATATTCAGGAGGCAATGATTTGATCGGAGGTAGACTGTAGGCGGGGTTGAAATGGTGATGATGATGATGTTGTTGTTGATTTTGGAATCGCAGCGCATCTACAGGTGTTGAGATAGCAGAGGGCGTCTCCTCAGGCGGCTCGCTCTCGGCTTCATCAAAGCTGAATGCTGGATCAGTCACTGGTGATGTGGGGGTGGGAATGAGGAGGGAAGGCTGAATAGATGCGACATCCACAGTAGTATAGACTATAGTGCGAGGAGTCATTTTCGGGACAGGCGAAGACGATGGAAGGACGAGATCAGGTGAGGGTTCTCTAGCTTCCTCCGTGGATACGTCCATTCTTTCCTCCAAGTCGACGAGTACTTCCTGGATTTCACTTACCTCGTCGAGGGCGGCATTTGTAGGTTGAGGGGAATGTGGCGAGAATGTACGAGACTTAGAGCGAGACGTACGGTGGGTCAGGGATTGACTGCGACGACTGACCGATCGCTGAGATGGCGACCGCGAAAGGGCTACGAGATTCAGTTCATCTGGCTCGTCGTCTGGTATCGGGCGTTTGGATGACACAGGAGTGGCGCGGGGAGGTGACCCATCTGGTATCGATGTAGCCAAGGGGTCATCGGATTCTGGAACTTGAAGTAATAAAGATGAATCAGAGCGAGGTGAAGCGGGAGGCTCTGACATGGGGGAATCTACATCGATGACGTCCGGTAGGTCTAATGGTTTGAATTCATCGGCAGTTGGAGATGATGAAGTGGCACACAGTTCGCTCGGTAGAATATTTGACACCATGCCCGATTCGGGACTGATGGTGATGAGCACGTTAACGAAGAAAATTGGTGAATAAATGCCACGAACTTTTCGTCGAGATCGTATTTATCTAACCAATCCTGAAGTCCAACTTCGTCCTCATCGTCGAACATGGATATGGAGCCTGCGTTTTTTCGTCTCCTCATCATACGGTACATTTCGCGAAGAAGTTCATTTCTGCGTTGAGATATTACTCTACACATATACTAGCGTGAATATTATGTGTTGGTATCGAGTATAGTGCACTCACTCGAGCTGTGCCACACGTTCCTCCACAAGAGCTTCAATTGACAGCGATGGCATACCAGAGAGAGGACTGTCTACCACTCTAACTTCCAAACACAGTTACGTAAATTGCGGGCAGAAATCGGTTCAAATATGAAAGTCCTAAGTGGTGTCTGCTGGGATAAGTCCAGGATGTGTCTCAGAGTGTGATTTCTTCAGTGAATCCTCTGGCGTCAATATGATGATCTGGGGAAGCGAGAACGAAAGTCAACGAGAGGAGGGTCAAGAACTCCCACGAATTGAATACCGTGTCCATCATTTGAGATTAATAAATCGGCTCACAGTTTGCTCACCGTCGTACGTTTGTCGACCATCCTCATGATGCGACCTGCTCGTCAAGCATTGAGCCTTGCTCGTTCTTTGTCGCGAGCTCAGCGTAGAGGTTCGTCTGCTTCACTTCTGGCAAAACTCATAAGTAACTGTTCTTCTCAGCTCTGCACCAGACGAAGGCCCGGTATGCTATCACCAACCTGGAGATGCCAGCCATGTCGCCAACTATGACAGAAGGCGGCATTTCCTCATGGAAGAAGAGGGAAGGCGAGTCTTTCTCCGCGGGAGACGTCCTACTGGAAATTGTATGAACTTCACGTGTTTCCGTTCGCACACGAACCTCATATACTCAACAGGAAACGGACAAGGCAACCATTGATGTCGAGGCACAGGAAGATGGTATCTTGGGTAAAATCATCGTTTGTCTCATCACTCCACAGTAATAACAACAAGTACTAACTGCAATACAGGCCCAAGACGGTAGCAAGAACGTCCAAGTTGGTAAAGTCATTGCACTCCTTGCTGAGGAAGGAGATGATATCTCGAACCTCGAGGCACCCAAGGAGGAGTCCAAGCCAGCACCTTCTCCCCAACCCGAGACTCAGGCAGCTGCACCCCCACCTCCGGCACCAGCACCGGCACCTCAACCTACGGCTTCCAAAGCATCGCACCACCCGAAGCACTCGAAGCACTTAATGCCATCGGTGATACGCCTCTTGATCGAGGGCAACGTTGCTGATGCAGAAGCTATCCCGGGCACGGGTGTTCGGGGCATGCTTACGAAGGGCGATGTACTTGCATACCTGGGGAGAGCGTCGAGTCCAACGGGAACATTCAAGGAAGCGAAGAAAGAGGTTTCAGAGCCGAAAAGGGTTGAAGAAGTCAAGGTATGCTACATTGCGCAAGCTTGATCTCACAATTGTTCATATCTTGCTCAGCCATTGGACGGTGCTGCCATCCGCCAACTTATCGTTTCTGGCCTAGCCGCCAAAATGAAGCTTGCACCTAGTGAGTCATTCTTCTGTAAATTATGTTGTAACGCATTTGACACCTGGCTAGCACCTACAACACCAGCAACCTTTGATGATATCATCGCCGACTACCTCCCTCCTTCACGCTCTTCACCTAAGGCTGCGCCGATACCCTTCTCATCAACGAAGGTACAAGACAGCTCTGCCGAGTACTTCGATGGGTTACTCTAATTGTTATATTGTCGTACTTGTTGCGTAGACGTTACTTAGATTTCTGAGCTATTGATACTTATTTCAAAACACCGATGAGTACACACGAAATTTGCCACAGGTTATATTACCTGTCTATGTAAGATTCTTGAGGCACTGGTCCAGCCGAGGTACAGATCATAACGCCCTACTTTGCGTTGGGAAAATCCGATAGCTCGCCACAACCTCGGCGGACACCAGCCGGGCACGCATTTTACTGAGCAACATCGTCGTCCAAAGCAAGACACTGGTCTGATCAGCCTCAGCCTTCGGAACTAAATGAAAATCATCTCACTCGAAACTCGATGAAAGAATCTGACATCCCACCCCGTGGCCTTGGCACGGGCACTAAGAACTGCAAACTCAACAAACCCTCCTGCTCAAGGCGAAGAGAGGTCTTTGTTGAGTTCTGCAAAGCTCGTAGCGTGCGTGATATATGTGCAAATCGATAGCTAATATCGAGCATCTCAGTGATTGCTAGGTGCATGCAGCACAACGAATAACAGTACCTGAAGCTGACACTACGCGAACATTCGAATGTTTCTAGGACCTCTCTGTCGTTCGGATAGTCCATCTGCAGTAGATTGGAACCTGAACCCTGTACAAAGTTAGAAACTCACCTCGGTACTGCCGAATGCTCCCGTTCCCTGTATTCGAAAGAGGGGTTTAGCGGGAATGCCTCTGTGCGCGCTCTGAACATCTGCTACAGGATTGGCAATCAACGTTATTTTTTCACAAGATGGATCAAGTTCTGAAAGGGCATCACGGAGCCAGAATGACGACTAGTCATTGTGTGAGCCGCGTCATAAGCTCGATGTCCGTTAAACAGACCTTGAAAATGATCTTGAGGGCACTAAGGAAGGTATAAGGCAGAATGAAGGAGTATTTGATGAGGCACTCAACGTCTGCTCAGCATCGAATGGGAGCTCTAAGTTCGGCTCAGAATCGAAAGTCGATATCTCACACGTCGTCGTGGGTCCTGATGAGTCTTCCGCACTGCAACATATCTGTACAATCGATCGTGACAAGCAGTCTGAAGCTTACAGAACAAGCGTCAAGGGGTATCCGGGTCCCGCATATGTGAGACGCATGCTCGTCCGCTTCTCGTTACCACCGAAGTGTTGGTCGATACGATTAGCATTAGGACGCCGTGCATCGTCGCCCCTCTCGTCATCTGAGGCATCATCGGCTCGCCGCCACTGCTTGTGCTTCGAGCCTGTACTGCTTGAGGAGGACATGTTCGCGGTTCCAAAAATGTTCAGGCATTCAAGTAAGGTGTTCAGAGGGATTTCAAATGATGTGGCATGTCGATCAAAATCAGGTGCAGACAACTGAGAGGGAGCAGCCTGTAGATTGTCGACGTCGAATGCCCACTCGTCAAAATGGTCCGCATAGACGTATGACGTCGCTGTGGACCATTGTACAGATGTTTGCGGGACCAAACGAATACGTACCTAGCAGTGTTCGCGCTTCCTCGACAGTGACGGTTATCCCACTGCCAGCTGTAAATCTCATAGATGCTCGCTTGAACTATAGTTTGCACCAATTAATGACAATTCAAAGCAGTGCGCTCACGTTCGAAAAACCAATTCCGCGTAGAAGGGAGGCGAAGTATCGAACATCGTGTACAGATGCTGTTAAAAGCTGAAGCTCTTCTCAGCTGGGAGCACGCTCCAGGAGATGGATGTCGTACAGGTTTGGCCTTATCTGATTGACTTGGCTGGGACATCAATTGCGACATTTTTCTACTCTCCTCTGCCAGTGGTAGGCTAGACAGGTGAGTTGCAGTGACGCCAATCACAATTCAGGTGATCTAATTGAGTCACGCTGCAGACTCCCGGCCGCTCTCGGCACCTCTCAGTGTGGCACTATGAACAACATTGGATTGACTTCCCGCAGCGTTTAGAGCGTTGTTCTAAATCTAAACTTATATGTTATAGAGTCCTCGTGTAGTTCTGAAGTGATATGATCTAGAAGGGGGGAACTACCCCCCTTCTGGATTCAAATGGTGTTCAAATCATGTTCTAAACACCTCTCAAACTTCGTGAGTATGTTGTAACCGTCGCTTACATGCCCTTTGATAGCATCTAGATATCTACAATTGGTCTGCGGCAGTTTGAAAAGCATTTCTAGATTGCGACGAGTTACGTACCCCGGGAAGTCACCCATTATCGCATCTCTAGCACTCACACTGATGATCTATTTCAGAATGGCCCGTTCACATGTCAGGTTATTATCATCCAGCATCACGCATGGTGTGTAGTTGGGACTTGTGACTTTTGAGATCCTAGATAGGATCATTTATTTAGTCCAACATGATAAATACTAAACTTCAAATCGCGCCTTCCTCCTAGGTTTAAGCACCCAATGTTCGACGACGGACCAGGCCTTTGCCTGGCCACATCAGCCTTGGCAGTAGCTTTTTTAAGCTGTTGTCGGAAATATTGGCTTAATCGTTCGCATCCTCCCCTGCCGCCTGGTCCTACTCCCCTCCCAATAGTGGGAAATATTCTCAGTCTTGATTCCGCTCGACCTTGGCTGACCTTCAACGCCTGGAGATCCACATATGGTTGGCACATCTTGATGGAAATATTTTTGTCATTAAACTCATGTTTTTTTTTTCAGGCGATATCATATATGCTCGTCTGCTCAACAAGCCTGTCATCGTGATAAATTCTGAGGAGATTGCGAAAGACCTTTTTGAAGGCCGGTCCACTATATATTCGGATAAACCCCAGTCCATTGTCTACGAACCGTCAGTTATATCTTTTAGTATTGCTACCTATTGATTACAGGGGCATTGTCAGCTTCGCGTCGGACTTCAACACAGGGCTCATGCCATATGGAGACAGGTAAGCTATTGTTATATGTTATATTGGTGTACCTGATGTCCAGGAGGTGGCGCCTTCATCGACGCATGTTCCATCAGGCATTTCGTCAAGCTGAGATACCTACTTATCACGCTTTGACACTCCGTTCCGCCCACAAAATGCTGTTTAGTCTTCTACAAGACCCAGGCAATTATCCAAGCCATGTCAAGATGTCGGTTTGCAACAGTCTTTCTGGTCCACTGCTGAAGCTGATATCCATCAGGTTCACCGCTTCCTCTATACTGTCTATTGTGTATGATTATGAAGTGAAAGCCAAGGACGACACCATTCTCCACGTCATTGAAAGGTACCTGGAAGTGATAGTAGAAATATTGACGCCAGGTACTACTGTAGCAATTGAGACATTCCCTTTTCGTATGTTCACACATTCAATGATGGCATGTGGTTACATCTCAACGGAGATTCTAGTTTTGAGACTACCTAGCTGGCTTCCCGGTGCCACATTCAAGCGAGCATCAGTGAAGTGTCTGAACGCAGCCCATGATGTGAAGGAGTTACCCTTTCAATATGTCAAAGAGAAGATGGTACGTCGCCTCATCCATGTTGGTGCGGTGGACTGACGAATGGCATGCAGTCCACTGGCAACATGGAACCATGCTTTGTCACTGAGACCTTGAACAGGGCGGGGCTTTCTGTTGAGGACGACAACGTCATTACAACTGCAGTCAAGGAAGCTGCTGCCATTGCGTTTGCAGGTACCTGGGCTGCAGAACTCCCTCTCTTGATACTCATCTTACTTTTTATCTTCAGGGGGGGTTGAAACGGTATGCATTACATTTGTTTGTGCTTGGCGTAGTGATCATTTTGCTATCGGCTCAGACTACCTCCACGTTACTTGTGTTCCTTCTTGCTATGGTGCTCCATCCAGAAGCACAAGCCAAAGCGCACGCGGAAATTGACCGTGTCGTTGGAAAAGATAGACTCCCCGGTTTCGACGATAGGCCTGCGTTGCCTTACGTGGAGGCTATTTTGCGTGAAACACTCAGGTGGCACCCTATATTTCCGTTGGGTCCGTCCGCTATAACGCCAATTTCACGCTTTTTTCTGATGATGTACCAAGGCGCCCCTAGCGCAACAACGACTAGTGACATCTACAAAGGTTATTTCATCCCCAAAGGTTGGTATCATACTATTCTAGCGAAGGTCGCTAATGACCCAGATTATCAGGGGTTGTTGTGTTTAAAAATACATGGAAAGCTTGCAATATTTTTATACTGAATTCGCTCGAAATGACCAATAATTCAGGGCGATGACACATGATGAAACGAAGTACCCCAGTCCTGATTAGTGATGTGCGGGCCCGGCTCGGCCTGAAAGCCCCGGCTTAGGCCCGGCTTTGGGGGGCTTGGGCTTTGCAAAAGCTCAGGCCGAGCCGTGAGCCCAAGCCAGGCCAAAGCCGCGGCTCGGCTTGGGCTCAACGACGGCTTTCAAGAACAAAATGATCCAAAATTCAATCTAAGCATATTTGTAACGGTGAGCAATCAACGACACGCGCATACCAATGTAAATCAGTACTCCAAGTCGCGCGTGAATTCACCCAGGTTGAGAAGCTCCACCACGCCATTCCCAACACCACGAACGCCATGCGCAAACGCCCAGCGCACGTCAGCAACTGCTGATATGGCTCAAACGAGTGCGGACGACAGACACGAGTAGGAGGAGGGAAGAGGATGAGGAGATCTCGCGAAGGGTGATGCCTGCTAAAAGCTTAGCGGTCCATCGTGAGGAATTTGATGATCTGATGACGGACCTTGTGCAGAATATACTCGTATATGTTGGTGACAAGCTTGAGGCTCTTGAACGGAACGCAAACACCACGGAGTACGAGTTGCCTTGCAGAGGTATTCATAAATTTTTAAATGAGACGAATGCCTGACGTACCAACTTCAACCCAAAATGATGAGGGGCAAATTCGACCGCGCAGACAGTGCCTCTTGCATCAACCAATACACCCATCTTGAGGAACCACATGAAGCAGCCTGAGGAGGCCTGAAGCCGGGCCGTGCACATCACTAGTCCTGATGAATTCAAGCCCGAACGATTTCTCTATGATGATGGGTCCCTCACCAACGACAGGATGCCTTTAGGCTTTGGCTGGGGTCGCCGGATGTGGTGAGCATATGTTTAGTGCTTCTTCACTCTCCACTGAAAGTTGCTTGTCAGTGTGCATCAGTAAAAAACTCAAAATGCCGTAGCCCTGGTGACAGCTACATAGAGCTATATAGGCACAGTAGCACTATATAGGCACCCTTCAAGCTACTGTAGCAACTGTAGCACTATATAGGCACCCTTCAAGCTACAGTAGCCACAGTAGCGCTATATAGGCACCCTTCAAGCTACATACAACTATATAGTACTATATAGCCCAAAGTCGCCGCTACAGGAGTCAGCTGGAGAAATATTTGCTACAGGTCAGTCCAGGCAGCTACAGCGCTCGTGTGATATTAACCTGTCTACAAACTATTTATGACAGACACACCAAACATCTCGCCGTCAATGAACTCGTTAAAATAAAAATCACTCGCCACCTCATATCCGTTTCCACTTCTCAACCTCGCATCCACTGAATGGCCCATCTTTGGTATTAGATGGCACGGTCGCACCATTTCGTCGACATGGATTACTGCCGCATTGCGGCGGAGTTGGCGTGTCGAGCGGGAGACCTGTCGCATTTGAGAGGGGGGATCTGGAGGTCTGAATGGCGTAAACCACTCGATATAAGCGAGGGCCCTGTTGTAAGTGCCGAATTGACGAGGGAGGGAGAATATAGTGCAAACCTGAGCCACTCGCACATCTGCAGGAGATCACACATTAGATACTATGATCCTCGAGCACCCAGAAACATCTTACCATCAAGAGCGTGCAAGCGTGAAGACCGAGGCCTGTCTGATATCAGTGCCATATCAAAACAAGCCGGACGACCAGGATTCCGCCCTGATGCAGCAACTTCGGGCATTGCTCTAACGTGCCACCATTTAGGTGTATCGCTGACTCGTCGATCTGGTGGCGCTATGATGACCACATGACGATAAACGTCAAAACGGTCATAAAGGCTAGGTACGATGGTGTTGTGCGGGAGGTTCTTGCGAAGAAACATTTGGAGAGCAGCGAGGAAATCAGTGGCACCATAGGCTGTCGTAATTCTTGCAACAGTTTGGTTAGGATATGCTGGAACCTTCGCAACGATGTGCTGGGTCACTTGAACTTCTTCGGCAGCGGCCAATGGCGATATCAGTGCTGTGTTCGACTTGGGAGAGTCTGTTTCTTCAGACTCGGAGTCTGAGTCCGAGTCAAACATATGATGCTCTCCGCGACCTGCCAAGAGAGGTTGTTGCGATAACCAATCGAGGTACGCACCACGCAAAAACACAGCTTCCTGGCGCTGAAGCCACAAGGCCATTTGTTCCTCATAGTCACGTTTGTTGCTTGCACGGTAAGCGTCCTTCGCGAAGTCGATATGCAAGCGTTCGGGAAGCTCAGTATTAAAGCCATCAGCAGCACCAAACAACGTGATTGAATCAACATAGTGAGTTAATTGGTGTAACTTCGGTATGTTGAAATGCTGTCGAACGGCGAGTTCCTTCAGGACATCTTTGTTGGCGTGAAAGACTCCCAGGGCAGTCTGTAGGGCTTTGAGCGTGTCCATTGTGTGAGTTTGCAGCTGCGCGTAATAGGAAAAGTCAATAATTGAACGCGCAACTACCAAGACACGGCTGACAGGCCACAACATCAACAAACACGGTCTTCAAAGAGTTGTCAAACACGGACCTAGGCACTGCTCCGGTGAGTAACCCAACAAACACTCGTTGCATTTCTTTATGCTCAGTTCCGGTCCATTGTTTAACAGCCGATATACCTTTCTTGAAGTGACGGAGCCCCGGATAATCCGGCATCGCCTTGAATCGCGCGTCCATCTCTTCCTCGCCGACAATGTCAACACACCACTTCACAAGATGGTCCTTGAATACTCCTTTGTGGAGTTGATGCAAAAGATCGGGAGTGAATGCCAGGAAGATGTTGGAATGAGGCAAATCGGCCCAGAATGGTTTATAAATGGCACGTAGACCGTTTTCCTCAAATTCCGGAGGATGCTGACCTAACTTGCGCCTTTCCAGAGTATCTTTCGTTGACTCTGGGTCACGCTTCACAGAGGTGAGTCCATCGCCTCGCTCATTTGCTGCTACCAGACACTTTGGACAGCGATTCTCCTTGGAACAAGATACCAAGCACTGCTCCGGGAAATCGGCGACATACGCAGCCAGTATGGGGTAGACACGCCGAATCTGCGAGTCTGCACAGACCATTTCAACACCGTCTCGTCCCGCGGCTATGAGAGGGTGGAGGAGTAGACTCATGCAATGATGAAACAGCCTGTATCCGGCCAGGGAGCGTGCATCTGAGGTGAAGCAGTCCAACTTCCCTGCAGGTAAGTAACCGATGAGGACAGTTGCTCGTGCTGATGCTTGACGCCTTTTTGCTTTGGATATGTTGCCAATAGACATGTACACCGGCCACGCAGACTTGTCCCCTCGGAACTGCGACAAGCAGGTCTTGTCTGACGATAGAATAATTGGTGCTATAGTCGCACCTTTGGGCAAGGCTTTCTTGATACGAGGTCAGTCCATTTTTGTATTGCTCCCTCTTGAATTTCTTACTTGTGTCTCACCCCACCAGTCTGCCGTCCACATCTCATTGATCACTCTGTGTTGCCCCGCAGCATCTGCATATGCTCTGGCAGGTGAGTACGCAATATCCTCCTTGAACAAAGGGTTGCCGATAAGCTCTTTGACACACTCCAAAGGATCACGGCTCCAAAGTTCGATGTCCTCTTGCAATGGTACCCCGTTCTCATCATCATGGTTACCACGCACGGTAACCTTCCTGCAGCTCCAATCTGGTCCATGTGGTAGTTGGTCGACCCTCTGCAAGAACGAGCGGTTGTTATGAAAGGAGACTTTAGTGCGATTTTGTGTCTGGTCACCGTGTCAATAATGTGAGTTTTGTCAACTTTTTCAACGTACTATTGGTAACTTCAAGAACTCATCAGTCCGTGTCTGACCAAGGTTTTTTATGAGCCACTGGGCCAAATCCCATTCTTTGCTGGTGAGTTATATATATTTAGTTCCCCTTGCCACCAGCACATTCGAACACTTACGCATCTTCAAAAGGTGACCATGTTTCCTCACCCTCTTCCTCTTGATATCTTCTACATCTTTCAAAATTTGTCTCGCTGCCATGCAGAGCCCAGCCCGCATCCAGTTGAGGTTCCAAATAATGCCAGGAGGAACTACCGTCCTCGTCCTCGACATCCTCGACGGTGACACGACGACTTTTGTTAGGAGCAGGGTTATTGTCCATATCGGCAGATGGGTGGGCATGAACTTGGCCTGCATCATTGTGGGAGAAGTCGACAGGTGCTTCTTGTGCGTCTAAATTCCCAGCCTCGTTATCCTCAATCATTGATACCCACTGACGTCGACATTCAGGATGGCTTGTGATGTGTCTCTTGAGACCTCCATGTGTGGTTATTACCTTTCCACAGAACACGCAGGAAGGCATGGTTTGTCCGTTGTTACCATAACTCGCCCATACAGTCACAAGTACCCTTTTTTTCAGGTACATTTCATTTCGATGCCACGACACGCGATTGTAGAGTTCCCGCATCGCATGGCTTTCAACAATTTCTCTCGTCTTGTCTGTTTCTCCCTTTGCAAATGTAGAGTTCACGCATCGCATGGCTTCTCTTTGACTCGTTTCAACAATTTCTAACTTTCTTCCCTTGCAAATGTAGAGTTCACGCATTTTTACTCATTTTTCTTCTTAGCTTTTCCTTCTTGGCCTTGGTTACTACTACCACCATCATCTCTATTCGGTTTTTGCAATTTCTCCCTTCACAAATGTAGAGTTCACGCATCGCACGGCTTCTCTTTGGCTCGTTTCAACAATTTCTCTTGTCCTCGTCTTGTCTATTTCTCCCTTTGCAAATGTAGAGTTCACGCATCACATGGCTTCTCTTTGGCTTGTTTTTCTTCTTGGCCTTGGTTACTACTACCATCATCTCCATTCATTCCGGTACGGCACCTTTCATTCCGGACTGACCATTGACATAACTGACTAAACTAGGGTAGTGATACCATGAGCCGCAAGTAGGAGTTCCAATAGTTGGACTTTTCTCGCCTCTTCGCACCGCTTCTTCTCTGCACTCCAACGCTGTGTTATCATCTCCCGCAAGAATGCTTGGTGAGTTACTGGGTCCTGGATACGTTCTAGGAGTTGAACTTTACACGTCTCTTCACAGTGCCTTATCTCCGCATCCCAGCGTTCCAATATAAGTGTTCGAATGTAAGTCTGAGATGCTTGGATTGGTCCGGGTGTTTGACGAAACGGTGGCAATGGAAACAGAATCTCAAGAGGGGGTGGTCCCACCCTAGCCTTAGCCTTAACCTGGCCTGGAGCACGAACGACCTGAAAAGGTCGGCTCGGAGGAGGTATGAGGTCAGTGTTCGATGGTAAGGAGGCTGGACTGAAACATTGGTTAGCATGAGGCCAATGTTGGATCTGCCGGCAAAGCAACTTACTGAGTGCTCATTTTGGGTAGGAGTTGAAAAGAAAAGTTGTGCCGCATCCCCCTTACTTATGCTGTTGTGTTGACACCGCTTGAACAGGTGAAAAATTTACATTCAAATCAACAAAACTCTAAATTTGTTTGTTGATTGCACGCCACGCCAGTGTTTATAAAGGGTACGTCTGTCTATGTTGTCACCATTGCTACATATCCTTGATTATGCCTGCAAAAGCAAGCTTAAAGAAGGCTTCTAAAAAGTCTATTTCCAAGGCTCAGGACAAGCTATGTGCTGAGATGGAATCGACTGCGGGACGCACCGCAAGTGGTCGCAAACGCCGACCGACTGAAAGAGAGAGCTACAGATGTAAGTACGATGCAGCAAGTCAATGTTCTAATACAACTGACTCCCTTTTACTTGACAGTACTAGAAGCTCATCAAGGCAAAGACCGCCAACATGACTTCAATGCAACAATGGAGAAACGCAAATTAAAGGTATTGCGTGCTGCATACAAAAAAAACCCCGAGGAGTTCAACGACGAGCCTGCGGAGCTCCTCAGTGATATGGATATCGAAGAAGAAAATATGGTACGTGTCTCATTTTTCCAGTGCTGCTTCGCTCACTATGTCATTGTAGTTCTTGCATCACTATGTACCTACAAAGGTAACTAAGCCACAGGCGCTCATGTACAGTACGAGCAAAACTCCTCCAGCTGTCTTGGCTCCGATGTCTTTCGGTAACGACCGCTTCAGTACTGCGGCCTCAGCTCCAACGTCCATCAGCAAGTCTCCCAAAGGTACTGTGTCTTAGGTTATACAGTATGACCGCAATACTAACACGGCACTTTTGTCAGCTTCTGCAATTGTCACGTCCTCCAGTGAGGACAGCGAGCACACATCCTCCAGTGAGGATGGCGAGCATGCTGATGACAATGAGGATGAACACCAATTGACCGACATTGAATCTGTTTGCAGTGCTCCTCACACTGGAGACCTTCGCCACGAAGCGGTGGTCGATGATATTCCACCACGGGTTGTCAGGACCAAGCACCAACTGCAGGACCGTGACGAAGAAACCAAGCCGCTAAAATTCCATAAAGCTTTGGACAGATCACGCCAACGATTAAAGGCCAGCGATTTCAATGAGGTCACGCAGGATTTGCTTGCCATTGCCATGTCTATCTATCGCTGTCTAGTCGTGACACGGGAACCTTTTCCTCAGACACTTATCAGCGAGACGCTACTAGCCAAGGAGGCCTGGCGAGAGGCATCTAAATTGGCAGGGCTTACGATTCAACTAACTCCTTCGTTGGTCAAAATGGTAAGGAGTCACTTGGTAATGTCCGCATGCTTATCCTATTGATGATATATATTATGTAGATGACGAGGCGCACTTCCCAAGTGCGTGGGGAGCTCAAAACTAAGATGCGCGCACTTACAGCATCATTCTTTGGCTTCCGCACAAGCCAATCTATAGCGACTATGACACACAATCGCGACCTAGCTGAATCTCTGAAGGATGGGACATGTTTCGTTTTCAAGGTGCGTAGCTGATTCTGACACATCAGGAAATCATGAGTTTACTTAATCCTTACTTTTTTGAACTTTTCCCACTTATTTAAAATGTACCTACTTTTTTTCTGAAATTTGACAACTGTTTCAAAATTGAGTATTCCAATATGTTTGTTGGGCCTGAGAGACATGTTTCATTGCATAAGAACAACAATTAGTGACTAGTATGAAGTTTAAGTAACACATTAATGCTGATGATTTTCTTTTTTAAATGTTCTCTTGAGGTGCTATATTGCAAATTGAGAGTTCAATAATTTTATAGCACACATTTATAATGATGGCTAACAGATTCTGATAGTTCATTTGGGACAAGGTAATGATTTAAGAAAAATAAGTAGATCCATTTGAAATAAGTGAGAAAAGTTTAAAATAAGTGGGAAAAGTTTGAAATAAGTAGGGAATAAGTAAACTCATGATTTCCTGATGCATGGCCTGTTGTCAGATGATCTGACTGGCAGAGTGATAGGACTGGGAGAAGAAAAGCGGGATTTACAAGACTGGATTGATACAGTCAGCGGTGAATGACATGTGGTTTGCGAACCGCAATGATGAGGGTGTGATTTACAGTAAATATTTCGACCCTTTACCGGTCAAACTTCTCGCACTTATTCTCACAGCGGTGCGTGCCTTCAGATGTTGATGCTGTAGCACAGTAGCTGACTCCTGCGGTTTGACAGATCGAATGTTGCCTTGATGAGTGGATAACCGGGATGAAGGAAGACATCAAATTCTCGTCCACAGCTTATACTCCGGTCTACCTGGTCCATCTCAGCTCATTACAGCGGTTCGACGAGCGCACCTCACATTACAAACTACTCGAGAAAATTCGTGTCAATATCCTTGACGTTGCTCAGTATGTCGGTGGCCACTTGCATTGATTATCCTGCAAACTAATGCGGATGGCAAGGTTCCATGCTGGGGTGAATTCACTGGCAGCACAGGCAACTACCATCGGCTTGACAGATGAGATATTTGACGACGCGATTCAAGAGTTTGAAGCTGAGGCTAGAGATGCCCAAGAGGGGCGCCAGGGAGGTGTGTAACTGGGTAGTCTTTGACAATGGCTGCTCGTTGTAGTACTGTATAGATGCTGTCTGTTATACTGTAATTCTATTCTGTTTCGTCGATTTCAGCTGGTGGCGTGGATTGGCACCTGTAGCTCAAAAAAGCGAAGCTAGTAGAAGGTCCTACCAGTGCTAGCTATTGCGCTGTGTAGCTGCCTGTAGCTTGCTACGACGAGCTACCAGTGACTCTCATAGCGCTATATATTGAGCCGTGTGGCTATATAGCCGCATGTAGAAGGGACTTGACAAACGGGACTACAGGTACTACAGCGACTATATAGCCACCTGTAGTCAAATGGTATTTTCCTGATGTGGGACGACATGTCGCAGACGCGTCACTCTGGATCGCGATGGCAAGCTTCCTGGCTGTTTTTTCAGCCCACAAGGCTCTTGATGATCATGGCATGGACATCCCAGTCATTCCAAAGTTCACCACTGGGCTCGCTGTGTTTGTAAAATCCCATTTGTCCTTGAGACTAGTCCGCTGAACTTTTGTTGCTTCAGTCATCCTGAGGAATTTCCCTACCGCATTGTCCAGCGATTCCCGTGTACATCTGAGACACTAACACACTTGACTGGCTTAGGTACGTTTGTCACCGTTATCTCGGACTTCTGGCAGACTAACACGTGGTAACAGAGCAATCGTGATCATGGTATGTAGGATATCTATATCATGTGCAGTAGCCCATGGAGATAGTTTTCTACTTTGAATATGCAACACTCGTCCATTCATTCAAACATATAGTACAATTACGAGGCAGGACTTCTGCATCACCACCCTCGAGTCCTATGGGACATTGATGTGAGTTTCTGAAACCAAAACAATATGGCGATCAACAATCGTCATAATTACTGCAGTATTGATCAGCACTCCTCGTGTCCGTTGGTCATGAACTGGATCACAATGGGGGGTCGAAGTACATGGGTCCAGCATGCCAGTGGCGCCGGCAATACTGCGGTTCCAAAATGTGAAACTAATGTATCCAGGCAAAACTGGCTACACGTACGTGTGTAGAACTATCTTGCACTGCACATATTCAGCATGATGAAACCGTTTAGATGCGCGACAAATCTCAAGAGGATGACTCTACATCTGACATAGTACTTGCCAGTGAAGCGAAGCGTCGCTATCCGCACCATCAAATGACGGACTTGCAAGCCCAAGCACAGGCAACACACTGCGCGAAATAGTGTCGTACTTCGGTAGGTTCTCAAGATCTCATCTTTTGACGTGTTCTAGGCCTATGTACATGGACTATCCTAACACACAGTTGAGACCCTCAAAGGGGATTTCCTTGAGGTGGCTCATGTGCTACCTTTGCAAGCAAATGCGCCGACCCTAGCCACAGAGAACGCGGTATACGTGGTCAGTTACATCGAGTCTGCTAGCGCACTACTGACAGGATATCCGCACGCAGATCTAGTACCAGTAGGAGCTTTTATTGAGGGCTTCACCACTTACCATTCACCGTCCCAAACAGCTGGACACAACTCTAGTCTCATCACACCGCCCGTGGTTCAAGTACGAAAATATTGCGCCAGGGAGAAGCCGACGACTTCTTCATGCAAAAAACCGTGGAGCTACAGCCTCTCGGACCCATGTACCCCCTCACTGAATCTCAGTTCAATGACACTGGCCAAATTTGATAACACTGTATAGGTTTGATGATCTCGTCACTCACATAATAGATTATCTCGCATAAACTGAGGAATTCCTAGCATGCAGGCGCTTGCAGTCCATCTTACACACATTCCACTGAGAGTAATCATATGTATAACGAGTATAGACCTAAGCTTTGAGCTGAGCACGTAAGTTCTGCTCCAAGGGACCTCTAGCACGAATAAACTGTACATAAGCTCCATCCCTGTATAACAAAGGTGTCAATCTAAAAATTCCCCAGACAACCTGGGATAATACGTACTGTACCACTCTCTTCTCGTCCTTGAGCTTCATGTAGTCCTCGCGGGCCACATTCGTGAAGCCCCACTTCTTCGAGACAATGATTTTCTGACGGCCGGGGAACTTGTACCGTGCACGGCGGAGAGCCTCTTGGATGACAGCAGCATTGGATTCTTTGCAACGGATAGAGAGGATGATCTGGCCGATGTTGACACGGGCGACAGTGCCGTAGGGCTTACCCCAAGCACCACGCATACCGGTTTGCAGCCTGCACCAAAAAATGTAAGACTCGCACCGAGAATTCAAAACCAAGTCACAAACCGATCAGCACCAGCACAACTCAACATCTTGTTGATACGGATAACGTGGAATGGGTGCACACGGACGCGCATGTGGAACGAATCCTTGCCAGATGTCTTGGTGACATACTTGTTAGCGCAAATACGAGCTGCTTCGAGCGCCTCAGAGCTCAGCTGCTCATACTCATCGGAGACAAGATGACAGCAGAAGGGGAACTCGTCGACGGAGGCACGTTTACGGCCGAGGTCAAAAATCCTGATCTATGGAGAGTGAGATTTAAAGCGACGGGTCGTGGGTGAACAAACTTTAGGATCAGGGACACCACGGTTGTACCGTGATTTGGGATAGGGCTTGTTCTTGCAGTAACGGTAGCAGCGGGCGGGACGACGACCCATTGTTGTAATCTGCAACAGATAGAAGGAGTTGAAATCAGTACCCAGTGCCTGTTATTGCAGAATCACATCCAAAGTAATCGGACAGCATCCACCCTGGCCACTCGAAGTCCACTGCTCCTTCTAATTCGAATCACATCCAACCAGGCATGCTGAGATCAAGATACGGAACAGCAACACTTACATGCTACACGGGGGTCTTGACGGTGAGTGAGAAGGTGCGGTAGTGCTAGACGAGCTCGTCCGCTAAATCTTAGATAATCAAGCTGACTTTGAACTACCTAACTTAGTTACTAAGAAGATTTATAATGAGGTTGGTAAACAGGTTTGTCACCAAATGCAACGTCTCTAATTTTATACAGTGAGTTACACCGTATCCGTGTTTTACGTCTACATGATGAATGATCATCCTGTCAGTTTCGCAACGTCAGACCTGTGGCGTGCCGTACGGACATAGTTCAATCCAAAAGAAAACTTGGGGAGCCCAAGTCAGTTGGTGATGTAGACTGGCGGGCAAGGTGACATGATTCACATGAAGCCTCCCCTTCATTTGTTAAGCACCCTTCAGTGCAAATTGGCGAATGCTGTGGCAAAGAATGTCCCTACGGCTTGCGCGTGCTGAATTTTCTTGGCGAAACGCAAGGCATGCTGGTTGGATACTTGCGATCGGTTGAACAATGTTAACACTCGGGCTTCTCGTCGCTGACATGAAGCCTACATGTACAGGTTGTGTTGGAGAGGCATCAAGTACAAAGTTAGTCGTTGGGACGGCGTCTCACGAGATTTTTTTTTCATCTCTAATATGTCGGAATTGAACTCGGGCCCCGAGACCAGGCCAAGGTGAGCCCTGCAAGCTCAAACCATGCTTGTTGGGGCTGTGAAAAGTGTCAGCGCTGTACGCCACAGCCGCTCCGGGTGTATGCAGAACCGCCATACCCACATCATGTCCTCAGGTACAATGGTCAGGCCGATGCATTTTCCATTTCGAGCCTGTCGATATGGATCAAGCCCTGACATGAACGTTTTTGTACAGATTAACTAATTCCTCTGCCGTCGACCAGGTGGATCGAGGAATTCTATAAAATGATTTGGGCCACGATTATGGGCCAGTGTTGGGTACACGGTCTGTTTGAGGTGCTTCAAGTTTACCCGTTCTCATCAGTTTGTGTAAACGCTCTCACTCTCTCCCGACAAGCCGAGACTAGGTTTCTCCACTCGTCACTTGACGAACATGGGGTCCACGCATATATATACAACCGTCACTGTCAATTGCCCTAGCCCGGGATGTCGTCTGGATCTGAGCCTCGAATGCCTTATACGGCCCCTCAACAGGACAAGGAGGGCTCAGAGACATTGGAAGGATCCCATTCCGCAAAGGACTCCGACCTCTTCTCACACCCGCACGAGTTTCCCGAAGGCGGTCTGGCTGCTTGGATGACAATTTTTGGAGCGTAAGCAGCTCCAATCCGGGCGGTAAAAGCTGGGCCTTACTTGATCTACTTAGATTTCTTGCACAGTTATGCGGGATTGGGTGAGTCTGGTGTCACCTGTGGTTGACGAAGAATGGCTCTTGACTGAAGGCTGAAGTTATACCATGTCATTTGGTGTCTACCAAGGTATTGCTGCATATGAAAATGAGAATGGAACATGATACTTATTACTTTCCAGACTTCTATACCCAGCATTACCTCACAAACGAGACATCGTCTGCCATATCGTGAGTTTCCACTTGTGTCTTCATGATGCGTATGCTCAAGGTCCCCTAAAGATGGATCGGGAGCCTGAACACGTTTCTAGTCACTGCTGTGGGCCTTGTATCAGGTCCACTATACGACCGAGGATATTTGTGGGTGTAATGTTGTTGGAAGTTTTCGAAGATACTCAGCAAACTTACCTTAGCTACCACCTCATAATTGCTGGATCGCTCCTGCAGAGTTTCTCTCTATTCATGTTGTCTTTGTCAAAACCCGATCAGTACTATCAGGTAACGTCACCTAAATTTACGACCTTTTTTTCTGATTTGGTGTAGATATTCCTTGCTCAAGGTTTAGGCATGGGTATCGCGTCGGGGCTCGTGTATGTCCCGACCATCACTATTGTTTCGCATTACTTCCGACGGAAACGCACACTGGCTATGACATTCGTCGCTTCGGGCTCATCGCTGGGTGCTGTCATCCATCCGATTATGCTCAATAACCTCCTGAATGGTCGTCTTGGTTTTGGAAATGGCGTCCGCGCAAGCGCAGGGTTTGTCAGCGTGCTCCTTTTGATTGCATGTCTATGCATGCGAACTCGTCTTGATCCGCCGGTGACACCAGCGAACTATATTGTGGCAGCCAAAAAATGCATTGGTGATGCACCATTTATTTGCATGATAGCAGGGTGAGACCTTAACACAACTTCTCTCAAAATCCTTCAAATGACTGTCCTGCAGGGGCTTTTTTTTCCAGACCGGCTTCTACTACCCGTTGTTCTTCATTCAACTCGACTCCATCGAGCACGGTCTCAGTGTCACCTTCTCGTTTTACTCTGTGGGATCAGTGCTATGCCAGTTATTTGCCTACTGACAGCATCACCAGTTAGTGATTTTAAATGTATCTAATTGCGTGGCACGAGTCACGTCAGGTTTCATCGCGGCGTTCACGGGAGTGCCAAACTTGGTCATAGTTGCGACGATTTCGGCTGGTGTGCTCAATTTGGGCATGATTGGATTGAGTAGCCTGGCCAGCGCCGTTGTACTTAGTGTGATGTATGGCTATTTTGCAGGGCTATGTAAGTGGTCTTCTTTTCCACTAGGTGAAAATTTATTGATGATGCAGACATTGCAATGATGGCTCCGCTTGTGGCTACTTTAACGCCCGACCTCTCTGAGCTTGGGTGAGTGATAGTTTAAATTCAGATGTACGAACCATCTAATTTAGATTATAGCGCGCGGATGGGCATCTGTTTCTTCATTAGCGGTACGTGGTATCAGCCACACTTCTACATCATTTAAATCTCACATATAATCACTCTGCAGGATTCGGAGGCTTGATCGGTAGGCGCATTTGTGCCATTTCTTGCCTCTAATTCTAATTCTCTAACAGGAACACCCATATCTGGCGCTCTGCTGACATCGAATTATACCTGGTGGATACCCGCTGTGTTCTCCGGGGTGAGTTGACCATGGTTGCTTTTTTTCCCGGAATTCACGTCAACTCGACAACAGGTCGTTTCAGTGACTGGTGGTATGATGTATGCGGTCATGCGGTTTATATTTGTCAGAAGGCAGATAAAAGAAAATGCATAATGCTCAACTCGAGATAATAGATATTGTAAGCTGATTCCTGAAGGAGTAATTTGTGTACCTATATCTCGTTGCGTTGTTCTTCCCCGAGCTGATCTATGGTTTTTACATGGATGCTGGTGACTTCTGGTGAACTCTGATGGATGATGTTTACCGTACGGTACAAGCTCTACGGCCGCATCTCGATCGCCATGTTTGAATCAAGCTTGCGCTCTGTAAATGGTACCATTGGATCGCGTTGACGTGGAATCACCACTATCGTTTTCTCCAGATACATCTGCGTCTTTCTCTTGTGCGATGCTGCCGATGGCCCGATGTCGTATTAGTGCTAGTAGAGTCGACCATGCTTCACCATCCACTTGTTCGAGGGGCGCAAAATGGAAGTACTGTTACGGCTCTTATGTGTGATCGCATTGTTGTTGAGTATGAGATCTTGAGACGTGGGCCAAGCATATGACTCTTACCTTCTGTTTGTAGTTTGTAATGATCTGTTGCAAAGCAGTTGTTTGGCAAGAACCTCGGAAATAAACAACATGTGCCAGACGCGGCCTGTTGTACAATTGTCAACGTAGTTCCACTGTGGGCCCATACTAGGTGCCGAATGTCTGAGAGTCTGTTCGGCCACCATTATTTGCGCAAGTTAGAATTTGGTTCACAGAAATTATGGCTTTGCTAATCGTCGGAACTTGAACAAGATGTCACGCTCCGATAACGCTTACCGTATGCCTTGTCCTACTATCAATACAATGCCTCTTGATCCTGATTACGACGAGGACGCTAACGAGGACGAATACGATGTAGGGATTCATTTCTGGCTGGGCTTGTAGAGACTGTTTTTACCTTACCTTATGTTGGCACTTTTGTAGCTTACATAAGCAAGTTATCTTTTCACCAGTTACCAGTAGGAGTCAGAGTACTCAGCAAGTTTTCATGATATTTCCTCTCCTCTGAGCCTTGAGCCTGGTCCAGAAACCCTTTAGGGTCGAATAGCAGCTAGGTTCTGCAAGACCCAACATTGTTCAGACTCACTCTCTGAATTGTTGTACCTTCAACGACCTTGTGGAGGCAGAGGATATGGACGACAATGCAGAGGAGAGTGATAAGAGGTATCTGGCATGCATCATGCAGATGGCCATGCATGCTATGCGCACGGTCATTACAGTCCTCAACGCAACAACTACCGCACTCGAAGCTTACTCAAACACCTACTACGACAAAGAGCCGTATCATACCTCCGCTTTGTCGGGGACTGCATGGGTCACCAAACTTCTCACTGGACACCCTGAACGCATCAGATGCGAGCTCGGGGTCCACAAGCACGTTTTCTATGTGCTCATCAATCTCCTTCGGCAAGCAGGATGCAGAGATTCCAGGCATGTACTGCTAGAAGAGCAGCTTGCTATATTTCTCTATGCGTCTGTCACGGGTCTCTCGATTCGCCATCTTGGTGAACGCTTTCAGCGGTCCAATGAAACAATATCAAAGTACATATATTGTTGCTGTCCTGGTATCAAGCTTATGTTCTTTCAGATATTTTAAACGGGTTCTTTTCGCATTCTCCTCACCACCGATATATACAACATACGTCCGCCTGCCCGACGTAGATAGCCCTCCTCCCCCTGAGATCACGAAAAACCCGAAGTTCTTCCCATTCTTTGTTGATGCTATTGGAGCCATTGACGGTACACACATCGCATGCCATTCTTTTGGTGAAGATCGGCATGCCGCTCGGGATCGCAAGGGGAACTTCTCTCAAAACTGCCTCGCGGCATGTTCATTCAACCTTTCGTTTACCTACATGTTGAGCGGTGTAGGACACGAGCTGGCACTGGGCTCGTATCGAGCTATTTTGCAGTACACGTCAAATACCCGTCACATGCTAATCACTTCCCGATGTTATCCGACGCTAACCCGCCAACCCGACGTTTAGGCCGCATCGGACCCGATGTTTTCCCGCTGTAGGACACGAGCTGGCGCTGGGCTCGTATCGAGCTATTTCACAGTACACGCCAAATACCTGTCACATGCTAATCACTTCCCGATGTTATCCGACGCTAACCCGCCAACCCGACGTTTAGGCCGCATCGGACCCGATGTTTTCCCGCGCACTTGTCCTATCCGTGTCCCGTCCCGTCTTGCTAGCCCCACTAGGTGTGTAGTTCATTATTTCGCACATTACTCACGTCGTAGCCAGCGCTATTACATGTTTTCCCATAGTCCGCAGCGCCTCATGTTTATTTACATGTACTTCGGATCCGAAATACTCCGCCGCTACTTTCGCCTATGGGTTCCGCATTTCTACGTACTTACATATATATTGGACTGACCTCGAGCATTATTCATTATCCAAGTAGAGGGGAGCAGTTCCCCGACGCTTAGTGGTCAAACCCGATATTTCGTAGTTCTTAGTTGATATTGCGAATATCATCGCTCTTTCATTATCCGTATCAGTCATTGTTATTATTGCGCACACTGCTCGCTCTTCCGACGCTTGCTATAGCGTTACTATTAGTTTCCGAAAGACCTGAACCCGAACCCGATAACCCGAAACCCCGAAAACATCGGACCCGACGCTTTTGCATCGGACATCGTAATTATACCTTCGGACATTGTTTCCCACGCTCGGACTATTGACCCCACATCACTCACTTACCCCCAAGACTATTCCCAGACCGCAGACCCCTGGGTCGAACGCACTTGTCAGGCAAGTATAGCAGACTAGGCAGTGCAAAGACCACAACACAAATATATCAGTTAGGAGCAATCTTTGTTTGTTCCTCTCTGTAAAGTAGTTTCTACAGCGGTTGGGGGGGGTCAGCTGCAGATGCTTGTGTCTATCACGATGCTCGTACTACCGATTTCAATATCCCTGAGGGAAAGTATTATCTTGTGGACGCTGGATTTGGCTCGTGCGATGAGCTTCTGGTCCCGTTTCGGGGTGTGCGTTGTAGAGACTCGCGCCTCTCGATGCCGGATATGCGGCCTTCTTACCCATTTAATTCCCTATCTGTATCAGCTCACATCCTAAGGACCAGTCATTCGCGCTCTCGCGCGCGCGCCCTACGTACGCGCCTCACTCGCACATCGCACACGCACGCGCGCCCTTCGTATGCGCGCTCCATAGGCCTTCGCGCTCCTACCGTCCGTCCCTCTGTCCTTTGTCCTTGCTGATTCACTGGTGCGTTATTTTTATCTCTCTCATTGAATTAACGAACCTTCGGTCCGACCTCCGTGCTTACATACAGAGAGCCTATTTAAACTTAGAATATATTTAGAAGTTGATATGGTTACTCGGTTCGGGAGCGCGCTCGGAAGCGCGCCGCATAGCGTAATCTCCCTTCTTAAATAGAGGGAGGATTCCTTCGGTTCTGGTACTTACTTTCCCCTTATCTTGATATACTGCAAAGTGTAGAGTTCTCCCTCCAATACTAGAAATCTGATTATACTCCTCCACTGTTGACACCTGTGCCCTTGCTACTCTCTTAAGGACTCCTCTCCTTCATCGTTCAAGCGCGCGCCCGCTTACGCGCGTACCCTCCGCATCTCTCGTTCACGCGCGCATCTCGCGCGCCTTCGCATCGCCTACGCGCGCCTTCGCGCGCGTTACTTTCCCGCGTCTACCAGCGCCCGTCTAGTTGACATAGTTTCCCTCCACCTTATTCGCGAGGAACTTCTCTCAGTAGCTGTCCTTTGGGTCGAGTTGTATTCTCGTATCCAGGTCTTGCTGTAGAGCCCCCTTTCTTTTAGTGTTTTCACCCACAGTCAAGATTCCTCACCTTCAACTGGAGCCCACCGCGAGGGACACTTCTGAGACAACCGGTCGGGTACTCAGACCCAACAGTCGTCGCAGAGCTAGAGAAGAAGCCATCGCCGCATTCGACAGAGCAATTGAATCAATTCTACCAGGACCCTTATTCTTTCAACCCGCGCGCGGTCGCTCGCGCAACATCTCAGAACTGCCACGACCAGATCTAGCGCTCTTAGCGCGCGCGCCTAGACAGCCGATATCGCCAGTCACGCCATCACCGGAAGAATCTGTCAAAGAAGAGTCGTCCGACGACTTTGAAGCAATAGATAACCCAAGAAGCCAAGTTCCCGGAGCGTTCCTCCATACGCCCAACCAACCTCCTTTTATCTCTTCTGACCTATCAGCGCTAAGCGCGCTGACCGAACTGACCGATTCTAGCAAAACCCCGCTTAACGCATTAGCATTCCCCGTGCGCGAGAACGCGCCTCCTACAGTGGGAATTCCGAAAATCAAGCAAGAAGTGTTCGAAACCCCGCGCGCGCCGCCTTCAATTCCAGGCGGTATCGTTATAGCAAACCTTCCCTTCGCATACGCGCGCCAAGTGCCAATCAGTCAGAAGACCTCCGCGCCTACAACATCCCAAACGCCTATTATGTCCACCACAAGAACCAGAATGCCCGTCCGTGGGACAACGGACGCGCCTAAATTTGATGGCACCGCAGACGACCTCGCTGACTTTATAGACCTATACGAGCAGCTCGCTGATGAAGTAGGTCTCCAAGGACTTGATCGCATCAAAGGCATCATCCGCTACCTTGAGCGCGATGATCGCGAATTATGGGGCGGGATGCCTGAGGCGCAAGTAAGCGATTACGACGCCTTTTTAGACGAGGTCAAAGTAATGTATCCCGGATGGGATGGCAAAAGGCGCTACGCGCTTACGGACCTACAAGCCATCGCGCACGAGTATGCTAACAAACCGATGCCTTCTTACCAGGAACTGAGCAGTTACCTGCGCGCATTCAAGAAGATCATGCAACCGCTTTTGGCGGAGGACAGAATCGGGAAAGCCGAGCGCGACCGCACATTCATGGAAGGTATTCCTAAGGACACTCAGGCGCAAATCCGCACGCGCCTCATGATCAAGTTCCCGGACCACTACCCGCAAGATCCATATCCGTTCATGAACGTTTTCGCAGCTGGACAGTTTGTACTACCAGCGAACGCGCCCGCACCAAGCGCAACGGCTAGCGCG